TATTTGGCTTAATAAATAATGACCCTAACACATTTAAATTATGTATCATATATATACATGACCCAAATTTTTCCAACAATCTCCCACTGGTCACAAATATATATGTCCTTACATCCTTACAAATGTGTTAGACTTTATGAGCTCAAAATTGTCATTATATTCCTTTAGCATATTCCAAAAGTCATGTCCATTAATCATATCAGGATATAGAACCAAACCAATTTTTCATTGCATCATCGCAACTAAAACCAACAATGATTACTCATCCTAACATAACCAAATGACATGGATTCATCATGAAATGTGTAGCATGAAAAATTACGTGAAGGTGATCTGTACATGTCTATTTTCAACTGGTCCAAACTTTAACTTATCGAGATCGATATAATATTCTTAATGTACAAAGTGTAATGAATGAATGAAAAAAACGCATATCTATAGATAACCAAATATGTCCAAAAATCAATGTATACATATATGGAATTAAACATAGAACATAAAATATATGAAAGTGACTAACTCCCACTAAACCACAAATTCCTCAAACTGTAAAACACCCATGTGAGCAACATGCTCATGAAAGACCTTGGGCGGAAGTCCTTTAGTTAGAGGATATGCTATCATGGAGTTTGTCCTTAAGTGTTCTATGGAAATCTGTCCACTTTGTACTCTTTTCTTAACAATACAGCTGATTTATTGTCACAATATAACTTAAGTGGTCTTTCAATGCCTTTCACAATTTGCAGCCCTGTGATAAAATTTCTCAGCCATATTCCATGATTTGATGCCTCATAGCATGCTACAAATTCTTGACATCCTGCAAAATCTAAGTCAAAAAACCCAGCGATCTCCAACTGGTCTGACCTCCTATATGTGAGCATATAATCTTTTGTTCTCTTTAAATATCTTATGACTCTTTTTGCTACTTTTCAATGGTCTATTCCTGGATTGCTTAAATATCTGCCTAGAACCTCAACTATGTATGTTATGTCTGGACGCGTACATACTTGGACATACATCAAACTCCCTACAGTTGATGCATAGGGAATCTTTTGCATTTCCTCAATTTCCAAATTCCCTTTAGGCACTGATTGAGACTAAACTTGTCTCCCTTTAAACATGTGATACATACAATCATCAACAATATTCATCTTGAAGCCAAATAAGTTTCATACCTTTTGCTAATGGGATAAGTTCCCAAACCTTATTGTCTTGCATGGACTTATACTTCTCCTTCATTGCTTCAATCCACTTTTGAGAGTTAGAACCTTTTATAGCTTGACGGAAGTTAACTGGGTCATCTTCCATTATATCATTATTTTTCTCATGTTCCTAAAGAAATACAATGTAATCATCCGAAATAGCACTTCTTCTTTCTCTAGTGGATCTCTACAAAGTTATTAGCTCATGATGCACAGGTTCCTGAGGATCTTGAGTTTGTTCTTCATTAACAACCAAATCATATTGAGTAAGGAGTTCATCAATAATGCCTTGTGGAGGTTCCGAACTTACTTTATCAAAAGTAAATATTTGAATCGGTTTTGGAATTGTTACCGATTCTTCCTCCAAGACAAAATTCCTGATTTTATTCTTTCCCCCAAACTCAATATCCTCAAAGAACGTAGCAGTTCCCGTCTCAAAAATTATCTTTAATGTGGGATCATAAAATTTATATCCCCTGGATCTTTCAGCATAACCAATAAAATAACTACTTACTGTTTAGGAGTCCAATTTCTTTTCATTTGGCTTATAAGGCCTTGTCTTAGCTGGACATCCCCACACATGGAAATGCTTCAGACTAAGTTGTTGCCCAATCCAAAGCTCATAAGGTGTTTTGGTAGCTGCTTTAGTTGGTACTCTATTTAGAATATAAGTTGTCGTATTTAGTGTCTCTCCCCAAAGTGATTCCAGTAAGGTGGAATAACAAATCATACTCTCTACCATATCTTTAAGTGTGTAACACAAGCTCAAACGTCACAATTTGATTGTGACCTGAGCACTTGTGCCATAATGCACTTGAGTGAGTATTTTCAATTTTACGTTTAGTACCACATGATTCTGTATTAAGTGTTTCATTATAGGTGGCCACAATATCAAGTAAATACTGATTATCATAAATTAAAAGTGAACCAGTTCCAACAATATCTGAATTAAAAGACAAACTGAACTTATTGTTTCCAAATGAACACAAATAACCTAATTTGTCCAAATAAGAAACTGAAACCAAATTCTGTCTAAATGACGGAACAACAAAAGTGTCTTTCAAATCCAAATAAAAATCAGTACTTAATAACAATTTAAAATGCCCTATAGCTTCCATTTCTACTGATTTTCCATCTCCAACATAAATCCATCTTTCAGAATCAATTGGCTTCCAGTAGTTTAGGCAACCCTTTCTTTTCACGCCAAGCATGATATTTAACACATTTCTTCTTTACGTGTCCAGTCTTATTGCAAAAGAAACATTTGTTTTCTTGAGTTTGTTTCTTTTGTTCTGGACCCTTAGCACCTTCTTTTCCGAGATCCTCTTATCTCTTTCTTTTGCCCTTAGCCTTGGAGGTGCTTGCAAAATGAGCACTTTCTGTCTTGTCTTGCTTTAGTCTTTCCTCTTCTTGTACGCAATGTGAAATGAGCTCATTAAGAGACCATTTATCCTTCTGATAGTTGTAAGATACCTTAAATTGATTAAACGTTGCAGAAAGAGAAATTCACATCAAATGAATGAGCAAGTCTTCTGAGAGTTCAAGCTTTAGTGCCTTGAGTTTAAAAAACAATATTAGACATGCTCATAATGTACTCTCTGATATTTCCTTTGCCTTGATATTTCATGGAGATCAAGTTCTGAAGAAGAGTGTTTGTCTCCGTCTTATCGCTTTTTGCAAAGCGCTGCTTAATTTCAGCATGAAATTCTTTGGCACTTGTGATGTTTTCGAAACGAGTGCTCCCTAAACACCTCCGGATGCCACGCTTAATGATCATTAAACTCATGCGATTTGAGCGATCCCACTTCTCATAATCTCTTTTCTGTTCGTAGGTACTTGAATCCGTAGGAGTAGGGGGTTGCTCAGTCCTTAACGCAAAATCCATATCCATGCAACCAAGAACAATATCAATGTTCTCTTTCCGAGTCCTTAAAATTTGTTCCATTGAGGACCGAAACGTAATTTAAATTGGCGGATACGAAGCAATTGTAGCTAAATTTAGAACACGAGAAATAAACTAATTATGCTCACATTATATAAAAAATAAATAATATATATTCAAATAGTGGTTTAACCCATCTCAAGACACCCAATGCACCATCAATATCAAGTCTTTGGACGAGTAATATTAACTCGCTAGAGGTATCTTGTTGTAATAATCAAACATTGACAATAAAGCACGTCCAACAACAAATCAGTCTTTGGATTGATTTATCATCGACAAAGCAAATCTTTATAATTATCACATGTTTATCATTACAAGTATGTATGCAATTCGGCCAAATATTAATCTTCCTTTGGGTCGACTAATACTCGCATGAATATACACAAACACTAACATTCAATATTTTTTATGAACTGCTCAATTCAAGAGAAGTTACTTTGGTGACTTCTTGACTCAATTTGCTCACAAAAAATATTAAACTACCAAAAATTGAATATTTTATTTATATAACAAAACCAAATATTTAATATTTGCAAACTAATTCAAAAGAGAATCACCTCATTAGAATTCTACTAAGAATGAACATCTCCCTAAAATCTCATTAGGGATGAACACCTCATTTGAATAAATCAAAGGATGAAAAAATGCCTCATTTTGCACCAATACATAAAGGTTGAACATCTCCCTAAAATCACACTAGGGATGAAACAGAGATAGTTCTGAGTCTCTTTAGCATACTGCTCTAAACCCTAAAAGGGGATTAAACAGTAATCACTCAAACCCTAATTTAACATCAAATTTTCCTTAAATAAGAATAGTCATACCTGTGGAAACATTAACCATTTACCTAAGATCCTCTATGTTGGGAATTCCTCAAACATCACCCCCAATTCCAAACTCATAAAATTAAATAAAAACAAAAGATTCAAAAAAGAACAGAGAACCTAATACAAGAAATATTGAAATTTGAAACAATATTTCTTTTTCAGTAAAACTTGAAACTTAAACTGAAACAAAAGGGAAAAACGAAGAAGAAGAAGAATCCATAGCTTCCTCCACGGTTCCATCAATAGCGTGAATCAGATTGGGGATGTTACCCCCAAATTTAAATTTTAGGGTTCACGAAAATTAGAGATTATTCTCCACTTAGGGTTCATAAAATTGGGTAATTTGAATTGTTTAAAACAAAATTAATCCTAATTTTCATAATTAGGGTTCTATAAATTAAACGAGACATGAATCAAATATGGGCGGCTCTGATACCAATTGTTGGAAAATTAATAATAATAATAATAGTCCTGATTTTGATTCTAACGATCAAACATAAACATAATCTCATACGGATAAACATGTTGTAAACTGAATGCGAAAGCGTACCTGAATTAGTCATAACGATGATGTCTTTGTAGATCACTATATTGATCTTATGGTCTTCCACCTGAAGAACACATGTATTTCCCTCTTGATTTTCTCTCTTGATGGGGATAGAAAGAAAGGAACAGGAATGAAACTTACGTTCTGTCTGTGTGCTCCCAAAAGGGGACCACGACCCCTTAAAATAACCAGAATTAGGTTAATTACTTAAGTTTTAGTATTTCCAATTTGACCCCTCATCAAATTAGAAATTGCTCAATGGTCTCTACACAATTTTGTTTTCATGACATATGCTTTTAGCCAAAACTTTAATTTATTCAGATCACTTTATTATTTGGCTTAATAAATAATGACCCTAACACATTTAAATTATGTATCATATATATACATAACCCAAATTTTTCCAACAAATCATCCAATTATTTCCTTTTTCATTATTGTGTTGTATATATTCGCAAAGAGTCAACAACAACACAAAATTACTCATAAGTAAGTTGGCATAAGCTATCGACTTTGCTAACACTTCTCTGAACTTTCTTCCAGACCTTATGTTTCAAATATTTCTTCTTCCGACTCACAATAAACAAAAGAACAAATAACTTTTTATGTGTAAGAGACTTTTAAAGTATAGATTTTTTTTAATAAAATTAAATTTTAGATTTTAATAAACTTTAAATAACTTATTTTTTTCTCTTTATTTATTTATTTTTATAAAATATTTTCTGAAGTAATTAATAATTAATTTAAAATAATTTATCATATCACTTAGATTTTTTAAATGAAAAATTATTTTAAATCACTAATATTTTATTTAAATATTTCCATAAGTAACTAATCATTTATAATTATGTTTTAAATTTATTTATTTTTTATTAAGATCCATGAATTATTATATATTATTAGTGTATTTATTATATAAATATATGTTCAAAACCTAGCTGAGGAACATGATAACAGTTATATAGTTGCAAAAAAAAAAAAGTCCTCCAATAAAATAAAAAACCTAAAAGAAACAAAAAAACTACCTTATAGAACGGTTCGACAATAAGTTAATTTCAATTAAATTTTATAATTATTTATTTTTATTGAAACATATAACTTTATTTTTTATTTATAAATTTATAATCTTTCAAATCTGATAAATAGAAAAATATTAAATACAATATTATTTTATAATTAAATTAAAACATACAAAAAAAACTATGATATATAATATGACTTCAATATCAATAATAAAAGAAATTCAAAACAAATTTGAAAAAATTAAGAATAAAAAAAAGTATAATCTAACATTATTTTAATGAAAAACTTATAAAACATGTTACACAACACAATTTCAAAAAAAATAATCTAAAGCATATCATGTAGTACATCTTGTTAAAAAAAACAAAATTTAAATAATTTTTTTCATAAAGTCGTACTATCATTATGAATTAATTAAATATGTAAATTTTATAAAATTACAAATACCGATCAAATTTAACCTGATTAGTAAAAAAAACATTTTTGGTATATATATTAAGTAAGTTGTATAATTTTCTATATGAAAAGAAGAGATCCCAAAAAGCAAAGTATAAAGCATGTTGTGAGAATCGTATGGTATAGAGAGGATGATTTGTACATGATGCTTCATTTTAGTTATGATCACAAAGCACGTGGAAGTTGATTTTAATGGCCTCGTATAAAAACTGCATTGGGAATGGATACTTAATTATTTGTATTGATTTTGTAAAGTTGCTACGAACATGAACTCATCATGAGAATGGAACTCCATCTTGAAGTAAACAACATAATAAATAGTTAACTATGGAAGAGTAGTATCCAAAACTCTTCAATTCATTGAACGTGTGTGAGTGTGACTTACGTTGCGTCTCTTGTTTCATTTCACCCACCCCTTTGCTCATAATTTATTTTGGAGCCAATTTTTTTATTATACTATTTATGTTTCATCTTAAAAAGACAAATTATAAAAATATGTATCATAAAACTGTGTTAAAAAGAGATTACCAATATTGTTCCTCGGTGGAGGGAAAAAATAAAAATAAAATTAAGAATAATATTTTTCAAAATTACTCCTCTCTAATTTATCTCTAAAATAAATATATGATGAGTTACTTTATAATTATATTTTTTAAAATTTTATTTATTGACGAAAATAAAGTATATTTTTAGTATCATTGTACTTTTGTTTAAACTTACTTTAATCCATGCATTCTTAAGTTGAACAATTTAACTTTAATTTTTTTTATATAAAATTTAATATTTAATGATACATCATACAAATTATAAAATAATTAAATTAACATGTGATTTTAGTCATTATTTATATATAAACTAGTAACAATTTTGTTTTCATAAAGTTGATAGAAGGACTAACTCATATTTCTTTTTAAATTTGATAATTAATTAACTAAGTTTTAAAATATATGAATCAAAATTAATTTTGGTAAAAAATAAGGATCGACAAAACATAAAACTTGTTTAATTTAGTTTGATTCTCTAGATTTAAAACAAAAATTTAAAAATTATTTGTAACAATAAGTCAAACAAAATTTAATAAATTTAGTTTGAAAACTATTAACAATGAATAATTATACTGAAAGTTTTAAAAAAAAAATTTGATGATAACAAAAGTGCTAAATATAACAGTATTAATGAAAATATACAACTAAAAGAAAAAAAACATTTTATCATTTTTTAAAAGTTATTTTTGAAAATATTTATCAGTTAATTTTTTTTATAAAAACTAAAAAATTGAGAATTATTTTTTAAAATAATAAACAAATAAATCTATATTTAATCCTTTATTTATTTATTAGTTTTAAAAACAATCACTTTTTTTATTTAAATATAACTTTTTTATCAAATAATCAAATATATTTTTCACTTTAATTTTGTTTCATATTTTCTTTCCCTATATGAATTAAATTTATTCCAACGATTATTACATCACATGACTTATGATCTATATAAGAGAGCTAAGGTGATCGGGAACATTGAAGTGTAATGATTAGTTGCACGTACATTATTTTTACAAAAATGATTCCAATAATTAAAGAGGGGTGGTACTGGAAGAACTTATCTCCAACATGAATCTAAAAGATGTGAGTCTGAAGAAGAAATTTAGGAGTTGATTGATGTAAAAGTTTGTCTAATATAACCTTACACTATTAATAAAACACAATTCATTTTGGAATGTTCAGCTACCAATAGATGTCATATCTACTTCACAGTGATTAAATTCTTTGCCAAATTTATTCTTGCTAATCATCATGAATTAGGGTTTGTGGTCATTCAAATATAACATCCAACAACCACAAGCTTTCACACAACATGAACTCTACTAACATGGAGGAGCAACAAGATTAATAAAGCAAGAAAAAACCTGTGTGGGAGCTGTTTGCGTCCATTGTTAGGGGTGACTACTATACAGTAGAGCTTAGAGAGGTCTTTTTAAAGTCATTCTTGAATGTAACCTTACAATATCCACTACATCCATATTTATTGTTTATTTCACTTTAGGGTTAGACAAGAAAGTAAAGTTACTTTCTTTCATGATTTACTACCCAAATGGTTTGACCAAAACTACAGGATTTGACAGTTTTCTTCGCAATATCCATTCCCTTTGAATTCGATGGTTATGTGTAACTAAAAGATAGCTTTCACTTCATGCCACTAAGGTCAAATGGTCCACACGTGACATGTTCAAAATTCAAAGTTAGACTCTAAACATCATCAAACATTTTTATCTTTATGTCAAATGCTATAAATGAGGGCAATAATGTGATTTTATGTTTTTCTTTACAACTTTTTTATTTTGAACCGAATACGAGGCATATGACCGGTTTGTTTGTCGAATGTTATTCTCTTTTGTAAATATTAACATAAAAATGTGTTTCATAATAATAATAATAATAATAATACTAATAATAAACATACACATGTTTCTTTATGTTTTCAGTTAAATTGACAGGAAAAAAAAAAACTTAAAAAGACCAGTACCTGCCCATCAACTTCCATTCTTATTTTCTAGTTCCTTTCACTTGTTTTGTTTGATTTATAAAAGAACGATGAATGAATTAAATAAAAATTATATGGTTTTATAATATCTTATTTTACCTTATAATAGATGGAGATACCTATGTTTCAAGTTAAATTTTATTTCACTTTTTTTATTTATTTAATTTTTTTATTTTAGTCTATTTACTTTAATTAATACTTTTTTATCTATTTTAGTAAATCTTTTATTTAGATTTATATATTTATTTTAATTACTTTTTGTATAAATTAATTATAATTTTTAATTTACTTAAATATTTATTTATTTAAATTATTATATTTATTTATTTTAAATAAAATGTTGAATGAATCAACTACATCTACGTGTCATACTTTTTTTTTTAAATAATTTGATTTTGTTTGACATTGTAATCTCTACTCCATTTACCACTTTCAAAAAATGTCAAGTGAACTATTGATTCCCTTGACATATCAATTCGGAAGCAATTCAAAAATTTTAAACAAATAAATAAACAAAAATCTCGTTCCTTAACGATTTTTGAATGTACCTTAACAATTTGCAGTTTCACGTGACAAAAAATTATCATTTTAATAAATTCCCTGATGATATCCATATTTGATCTTTTATTTCCAATTTTACAATGAGAGAATTATTGTGAATATTCTTTTGAACACACTATCTCTCACTAATAAAAAATTTCAAAAATAAAAAAAAAATCTTAGCTGGTCTTATATCTTATTTAATGAATCTCTCTCCAAATTGTAATCTTCAACAATTCGCAACCAATAATAAAATCTATGTTAAATAATGTATACTTAACATTCCGATCTTAATAATTTAAACAATTAATCCAATTTAAGGTACAATTAAAAACTAAAGACATGCAATATTTGTTATGACAACTAGATAATCTCAACTCGAGCTTCATTTTTAAGGATTAGACTTAAGTTAACCTACTTAACATTATTATTAGTGGATCTAAATATACAGGGGAAAAAAAATTAAATAAGACAATAACTAGTAATATTCATAGCAAGGTTACCTTTTAATACATTTACACGTAGACATGTTTACTATTATATATCCTTAGTGAGGTTTTTTGTTGGTGTTAATTTAAAAGCATTTATTTTAAAACCACTAGGCCACTCGAGTCTCTATACCACCATGTATCCCATTTCAAAAAAAAGAATAATAATATATAAAGTAATTTTTAATTAGGTAATGGAATATATTGTTTTTCCATGAGTAAAGTTTTAACTTTTACTATTGTTTTCTATCCCCGGTTTTTCTTTAATCTTGGAAAAATTAGGTCAAGGTAACTTTATCGAACAATGGAATGGGGTTGGGTAGCTCCTAGCTAGATACAAAATGATGCGTGTATATCTTCTTCTCTCTTTTTTTTTTTCCAATATCTAATCTTTTATCTGAAAAAAATAACCTTACAATTAACGATAAGCCCACAATAGTAGCTCGTGGATGGTCTCACATAATGGGCGTGTGCTCCAAAATAGATGGGCCCAGCTAAGAGCACGTGTTAAATCTGTTGTGCTTGTCGAGCCCATCTATGTGGCCCATTGGAGGGCCAGGAAGTGGAAGCCCATGCTAATGCTTTCATCTGTCATTTTAACCTGGGCAACTTTTGGTAAATCAAGTTAGAAAAACGTTTATTATTTAATTTTAATACATTTTAAAACAAAACAACGTGAAATGAGATTAAAACAAAAGAATGAGATGAATTAGTTTTTGTCTCTGTATTTATATAACAAATGCTTCCTTCGTAAAAATAACAACGCAGGTAATTTTCTAAAAGTCTCGGATTTTTTTTTTCTGTAATAAAATAAAAAGGAAGGAAAACGTTGAAATGGAGAAATGGTTATAATTTATCGTTGATTGGTGTGTTTAGGGTGTTCAATGGTTGGGGACAAGGAAGGAATGGTGGGGCCAGAATTAGTTTTGTCCATCCACATATTCATCAAACATCAGGATAAGTTTGCGATTAGGATCGATGAAGAGAAGATAAAAGCAAAATAGATTAATGAATTAAATAAACATTAAATTTTAAGAAAAAAAATATAAGAAGAAGCGATAAAATAATTTTTTTCTATACCCCAAATAGTCAACGTAATATTAAATAAATATAAAAAATAAAAGATTTCAATGTAATATTAAAAACAAATTAGATTATATGTATGAAGAAAATTGAGACTTTTGCAAAGGTGTTGGGGATTTGAAACAGAGAAAAAACATGGTGGCATTAAGCGATATAATATAATTATTTGGAATGAATAAACGAGATTTATGTAAGTTTGGTTGATGGATGAAAATGTGAGAACAGCAACTAACAAAGTGACAAGAGGCACGTACGATTTGGAGAGTAGGTTGTTGGTAACAAGCCACGTGGAGTGGGAGCAAAAACCTTGGTCATTTGATTGAAATATGGTGCATCAAAATGCCTCTGTCAAGGCACAATGTTGTTGTCCAAAACCAAAGAAGTGAAGGAGAAGCCCTTTGGAATATACATAATCCAAAGCATGGCCACATGCAAAGCTGAATTTTGAAGGAGATAATGATGCCAATTTATAAAATAACAGAGCAATGATGTGGAATCCAATCAGCCCCGAATGTCATTAAACATTATTGTCTAATTGTTTCAATGATGAACCCTACAAAGAAGCTCAATCACACCTTCAGTTTTCAGGTAGGTAGAATGTCCAAATTTTATATAGGGACACAACTGCGGTAGGAAAAAAATAAAATAAAGCGTGAGGAATATTTCCCCCCCAAAGTTGAGCACAACAAAATAATGAAATATAGATTAAAGCCCAATGACACAAGTAGCTGCAAAGTAAATAAAAGAGAAGAATCACAAGCTGGAATGGTATTATTGATTAGGAAGAGACGTTGTCAAGTTAAGTAAAGCATCAAACTTTTGATCACGACCTATTAGTATTATGGTGCACACTATTATTATTAACTGTTACTTCTTTTTCAACCTTTTTATCTTTTGTCTCTCCCCTCCCAACTATGCAGTTGTACCCCCCGCAACCCTTTGTCTTAATGCTTCCCATCTTCTTTCTCTTCTTTTTATTCTCTATCCTCATCACCACTCATGTCTTTTTGAGAAAGATATATTATACTAATATGTAAGGAAAGAGATACGTAAAGTGAACCACTCTATCAAAATTAAAAATGAGAATATCTATAGCATAATTAATTTAATTTTTTATCTATAAAATTAATTGCCATCAAATATCAACAAATCAGAGTGGCGCAGCGGAAGCGTGGTGGGCCCATAACCCACAGGTCCCAGGATCGAAACCTGGCTCTGATAGAAAAGAGTAGCTTCCGGGTTTTTTTTTTTATAGAATGAGTGCTTTTTCAGTATCATGTGAAGTTATTTTCCGTTTATATATTAAGTTACTTACCTTCTAATTCTTTATATGTTCATATTAATTTTATTTCTTTTGTTTAAAAATGTATTAAATTTTAATTTTCTTATGTCTACAAAGTTCATTTAGGTAACTAAGGAGGAAGGAAACACCTATAGAATTAACTCCAAGATAAGAACAAATAATCAATTAATTAAGATGCGAGGGTACTAGAAAAATGTCTTTTAGTGGGAAATGATTTTCACAATCTATTTATTTCAAATTTAGTGACATTTTTTTTTATTCCATCATCTTCCTAAATCATACCTTTTTTTTGGATGACAGAAAATCATCTTATCATGGGGATTAAATAGTAAAAAATGACATCATCACCTTCTAATTTCATTTGTTAATAAGATACTTGAAATTGACTTATTCACTATGTTTTGATTTATAAGGAATAAGGTGGAGAAAAACTTTGTAATCTCTATAACATTATGGTGGTGAATAATAACATTGTTGTGCTTATAATAAAGTGAGATGGTGTGAGAGGTTATTGTTTCAGTTTTAATTTTTAAAGTGAACTTATGCAAAACTTATAAGAGTCATTATTAAGAACCATGAGTGTTACTACAGAGGATGTATGAGAGAATGCAGTTATGGTTTATGATTATTAATAAATATTGATTAATCTTAATATATACTTGCCATCTTTTTTTATACTGATCTTTATTGGACAAATTTATAATAATACTGACTAATTGTCAGGCCAATTTATCAATAAAAAAAAACATTGATCAAGTTTTTATTAGTAACAACCAAATTTGCAATTAATTAATCAATCGATGAACAAATTGAGTATTTATTAGGAACATTAGCGACTCACTTTAGATCGATTTTGAGACAACAAAAACATTCAATCCAAAGATAAATATAGTTAATTATTTGGTTCAGTTTACATTATTTAATAGAAATCAATTTGAATTGAACTGAATAATTCGATTTCCATCACATAATTTAGTGTTTTACGCATACAATTTTTTTATTAGATATATCTTATTAAAAAAAATATATATAATTCAATCATCTCTTCCTTTTCATATTTATTAGTGGAAGGGTGGTATATAAGATGCAAATGAATTAAATTAGAGTTAATTACAGTCAAATTATTGTAAAAATATGTTTCGTTTTTTTTCAGAATAAACTTCAATTGATTTTTATTTTACCCTACTATTTGTTTAAAACCATTAAGTACAATGAAAAAAAAAAACTATGATCTGTATGGAAATAATGTTGGGTTGAAAAGAATGTATATGGATTACATGTGTGCAAATTAATATTATAGAGAAATGATAAGATAAAAGAGAGAAATAATAATGACGTAAGAAAAAAATTTAGATGGAAAATTAAAATACAAATAGTTATTATTATTATTATGCAATGTTATTTATAACTAAGAACTTTTGACAACATAAACAATATCTTTCTCACATTTTTCTAAACGTGCTTTTCAGCTTTCACTTAATGTCATGTGATTTTTTTGGAATTCACGATCTAGATCCAACTTTCCAATCACGGGTGCGATTTGGGCTACACTTGAATGTGGTAATTTAGTAATCTACATGTCTCATGATAATTGATGGATAAACTAAGTCTATAGCCATCATAAACGTGTGGGACGGGTTTTGCCTCTCAATCAGGTCTTTATTATTTTAATTATTTTTGTTTGGTTAAAAATTAAGTTTTTATTTTTTTTCGTTGAATTTTGAGTTTCTTACTCTTGTTCCGTCATTAATTTATATTTTTTATTAAATAATTATATTTATAATAAATTAATTTTATTATATATTATTTATATATAAATAAATATTTATAATTTTATAATTTATAATAATTATTAATTAAATATAAATTTTAATTTATTATATTTATATTAAAATATGTATGTAAAAAATATTTAAATAATTTTTATTTATATATATAGAAAATATTTATAATATTATTATTATATTCAAATATTGGAATATTTATAACATTATTATTATAATACTGTATTCAAATATTTAATTATATATAAATTAATTTATTTTTAAGTTCTCATTTAAAAGTTAATTCATTTTTAAGTTCTCATCTAAAAATATGAAATATATAGTTTATAAGAAAATATTTAATAAGTTAATTTTTATTTAATTAGTTCAAAATAATAAAATTTAAATTATCAATTTCTTTTAATCTTTTAAAACATAATTATTTTATTAAGATAAAATTTGATATATGATAAATAAGAATAATAAGATAAAAAAATATGACATAATAAAACCTAATAAATATAAATTATAAATAAAATAATATTAGTTACTACTAAGATTTATGTAAAATATTTAGAAAAAGATAAAGAAAAAAATTTACCTTGTGTTCATCAAATTGGTTAAAAAAATTTAAAAAATAAATAAATTGATGGGAGAGATTAAGGAAATGTAAAAAATAGAAAGGTAAGAGAGAATAATGTAATAAATTAAATGATACAAAAGATTAAAAAAGAAAAAAAAAATTAAAAGTGGGTAGAAGAAAAATAAAAATTGATGAAATATTAAAAAATTGACCTTATATGTAATAGAAAAAAAAGAAAATGCATTTAAAGTATTAATATTTTTAATTTAAATATAAAGTCGGGCGAGGTCGGGATTGCATTACCTATCCACGCCCCCACCCCGAATTTTTAAAGCAGAAAAAACTCGAACTCGCCCCCATCTTTGGTCAACTCGGATTTTCTCCGTTAAACTTGGACGCGAGGACGGATCGGTCCTCACATGTACGATTTTAATTATCATCCTTAAATTTATCAAAGAAAACAGTAAAATGAATACCCATTTTATTTTATTTTTTTATATATAAAACCAAACTAGAACAATCGTAAAATGTATAGTCATATGTTTTTGATAAAAAGAACATACTTTTTTTCTAATATTTGAATATATTTATTTTTATTCAACATTTTCCTTATAACATCATAACATTATATGACTAATCGAAATAGGTTAATTTATTTGGACTAAAAATTGTAAGAAGTTTCTTAAATTTTGGACTAGTCATGAATTGCTCAAGATATTAATTCAAGACAATGATAAAATATATTGGAATCTTCAGATACTCTTAAAAAACATTTACAAATAGATAGGATAAAAATCTGTTTATTTTGGGATAGAACATGTATTTATTTACCTTTCTATATATATAATAGTTTATTTATGTAAATAATCATATTTTAATTTAAAATATTATGTTAGAGGATATGTTTTCAATATTTTGTAGCTATGACTTATATTTAAATGATAAGGTTGTATTTTATTGTGTTTGAATATTTTCTATGTTATGTTTAATATAAAATTATAACTAGAAAATAATAATAATAATAATAATAATAATAATAATAATATCTGGCAGAAATACAGATGTGCCTTACTTTTTTATTAAATTTAATAAATATTAATTTAAATATAAAAATTTATTATAGAGAAAAATTAAGAGAAATGTGGATTAAAAAAGAGTAAAATAAAGAAGATATAATACAAATATAATTTTTTTTTCTCTTTGATAGCCATAAAATAGTTATATTAGGATTTTTTTATATATTTTTATAAATAATAAAATAATTTTATATTTATGTATAATATATTTTTTTATATGTGAATATATAACAAGAAAAATGTATTTTTAATTGTATTTTTTGTATAGTTGAGTTATGTGTTAAATAGTTTTTTCTCATCTTTGTAAATTATAAGTTTTATATAATTTCATTGTATTTTGTTATATATTAAGGTTTTACCATACTTAAGAGTGGAATTTAAGATTATTATTATATATATATATATATATATATATATATATATAATAAACTCGTTCAAAAATAAAATTATAATATAAATATCAATTTTTAAAATTTAAAAATACGCATTAATGGATTATAATGATATTATTTTAACAAAATTATAATATTAATATTATGAAGGTAAGTTTTAGAATTTTAAAATATTTTTCTAAATTTAAAGTACTAGTTATATATATATATATATATAGTTATTATTTATTATTTATTTTTTAATAACTCAAAGATACATTTCAATCTTTTAATTTTAATACTATTTTTTTATTATTTATCAAAAGAAAATATTATTATTATTATTATTATTTAATTTTTTTATTGTAACCTTTCTAATTGTGATTATATATTGACAAAAAATATATCAATACATAACACAATTGACAAGTGATAATTGTATGTGAAGTGATTCATAATGTATTATATGTAAGAATCTAGTTTTCATGAGAAATCTAATTAGTAGATATACATATTTTAATAATTACTTGCTAATGATATTATACACAATAGTTACTCTAGCTTTATGTAAGAGTGAAATTTCGTAGTACTTTTTTAATTAATATCTTTTATTAGTTTATTGATTTTTTACGTAAAAAAGTTGCAGATGTGATGGGTACGAATATGAATAAATAGGTATTGAAGTGGTATGTCCGGAGATAAGGATAAAAATTCCTCGCATAAGCTAAGGTTTTTTTCTTTAAATATGATTGTCAACCTTTATTTAATAGTCAGTGGTTGAATCCATTTTAATAAAATTGTTATAATAACTAAATAATATAATATCATAATTTTAGGATGCTAAAATCTAAAATCAAACATAAAATCATAAATGTTCAAATTGGTTTTATAATTTTTTAAATCTTGATAGATTCACCTTGGTTAGGTAGGTTTTTCAAATTAGTTTTCGGAAAGTAGTTCAATTAAAAAGAATCATATATATATTAGAACTGTTATACGGGATTGGAGAGAAAAGAACCTAGATATACATACACATAACGTTAGCTATTGAATGTTTTTAATAGCTAAGATCTTAGTTTTTCTCTTTAGGAGCTGGAATTCAGATGGAGTCATATGATTGACTACTACTTTACTTTCTATTGTATAAGCATTTTTTGTTTTCATTTCAATATTATTAAGTACAAGAATTTGGTGCATAATGACTCCTAATGAATACAGTCTCAAAGCACATGTAAGGATGTGCTACTACAGAGTATATTCCTACTAAAATATTCATTTAAGAGCTGTTTCTTTCGAACAAGCCATAGCATTTAAAATAATTAATCACGGTCTTTTAACTCTTCTTATTGTAGTTTATATCTTCTCCTACATAACTTGTCATAAACATGAGCCTTTTTCAAGCACTGGAGAATCTTCGTACCTGATAAATCATGCAGTAGACAGAATTAAAAATATTTGTAGCGGACAAAACTCAAGTAAGAGGCATAATGCACCAAAAGAAGCTGAAATTATGTAGTTCGGTGTCGGAGGGTAACACACAAACATCCTACGGTAACATTTGATTTTGTTTTGGCATACTGTTACCTCAAGTAGGTAACGTGTTGCGGTGCTGATTAAGGATTCCCTTCCATCAACACGCCATCAACCTTATACCATCTCCTTTGGTTCAGTTTCTGAACCATCTTTGTATTTATTTTCGCTATTTTTATATTGAACTGAAAAGTGTAAAAGCAACAACTTAGCTGAAGAAAAAGATAAAGTGATAAAGTGTAGAGTGTCCACACACAGGATCGTCACAGCATCTCTCGGAGTGTTGATGCGTTGCTTTGGCCTGCTTACCACCCAAACACAACAACATGAAACACAGGATAAAGGTCATGGTCGTTGTTGTGATGCATAACGTAGACATCCATTATTACTACTTACTCTCTTACTTACAACTTACAACCCAAACAAGTTTCCTCTCTCTTTCTTTCTTTCTTTTTTCCTTTTTTGTTTGTCTTTCCAGCTAAGTAATTTGCGCAAACAAAACCAGAGATGTATTATTGTGTGGATCAAAAGGAGATAATAAGCAGAGAAGGCCACAAAATTCACCATGAAACCTCATCATCATCATTTCACTTTCTTTTTCATTCTATCAACAGTGTCTCTATTCCCCACTTCCAAAGCTACCAACACAACTCAATTCCAAATATACAATGAAACAAGAAGGATTCTCCACCAGCCTTTGTTCCCGGAGGTTTCAGCTCCGCCGCCGGTCACCCCACCCCCGCCTCCGCCTCCGGATATTCCTTCTTCTCCCGACATTCCTTTCTTCAATGAGTATCCCGCGGGGCAGCCACCGCCGCTGCAGAACCTGCCTCCGGCGACGACCTCCGGCGCCGTAATCGCGAACCCGACGGCGACGCAGCCCACGAAGCCGGCGAAGAAGGTGGCAATCGCTATCTCCGTGGGAATCGTGACGCTGGGAATGTTCTCCGCATTGGGCTTCTTCTTGTACAGGCACAGAGCAAAACACCCAATGGAAACTCAGAAACTCGTTTCTCGGAGGGTTCTACAAGATTCTCCGCGGGCCCCACCACCCTCTAGCTTCCTCTACATTGGGACTGTGGAGCCCGCCAGAACGTCGCTCAGCGAACCCAACGGAACGAACATTAGCACTTCGCCTTATCGAAAGCTTGATTCTATTAAGCTGAACTCCGATCACCGTTACCGCCCCAGTCCCGAGTTACAACCACTGCCGCCGCCGCCACCTCATAAGCTGCCGGACGAAAGTCAATCGCCGCCGGCGGGATTCTCCGACTCGTCATCTTCGGAGGAGGAAAGCTGTGAGACCGCGTTTCATTCGCCGCACGGCTCGTCGCTCAGCCGTGAAGAGAACTATTTCACGCCCGTATCGCGTCACAGTAGTCTCGCCGCTGCCGTACCGGTGGCGGCTGCTCCCGTGGTTCCTTACTCGAAGAGAACTTCACCGAAATCCCGGTTCTCGGCTCCTTCGCCGGATATCAGTAACATGTTTGTACCGTCGATGAAGCATTCTCCGGCCACGGCACCGGCACCGGCATCACCAACTTCAACCAATTATCCGCAAATAGAAAAAGTAATTACCTTGGGTCCTTCTAGAAGACCGAAATTCTCATCGCCTCCCCCAGCACCGAATTTGACTCATATTATTAAGCCTGCTCCTCCTCCTCCTCCTCCCCCGCCCCCGCCGCTGCCAGCGTCGTGGAAGGGTTGGTCTCCGTCAATTAGTGCATCTTCGTCTGCTGTGTCAAGGAAGCAGCGAGAGTCTTGGTCTCCAAATGAAGGAGGGTCTTCTTCTAAGAGTGTTAGTGAAAGGAAAGGCTCTTCTGAGGAAGTTGACAAAAGACACGGAGGTGATGACGTGGATGGAACGAAACCCAAGTTGAAGGCTCTGCATTGGGATAAAGTGTGTGCTACTTCTGACCGTGCCACTGTGTGGGACCAACTAAAATCCAGCACGTTTCAGTAAGTAAACTGAGATCAGTTATTAGTAACTGTGATTCTGTGGTGTGTGGATTAACGTTGGTTTGTTTGGTAGGTTAAACGAGGACATGATGGAGACCCTGTTTGGCTGCAAATCCACACCTTCTGCTTTTAAAGAGACTGTTACTAGAAGATCAGTTCTCCCCCCTGTTGAACTCGAGAATAGGGTGTTAGATCCCAAGAAATCCCAAAACATAGCTATACTACTAAGGGCACTCAATGTCACAAGAGATGAGGTGTGCGAAGCTCTTTTGGATGGTAAGCTTCTTCTTTTTTTTCCATTTCTGGACATGGATAGTACTCATACTTTATCTGCACCAAAACTTGGATGTTTTGTTGCATTGCTCAGCTTTATGGAGTAAATCATCCTAACTAGTATTTTCTGGTTCTTTCTACACTTAATTGACAAAGATCTTGCGTTCATTATTAAACTCTTTTTTATTTTGCCTTTACTTTTGAGGAATTATTGTTATTGAGGTTGCTATAACCCTGGCATCACCAGCCTAGTACTGTCACAATCTAAGAACTACCCAGCTTTTCCTTTTTAAGCTGTAACGGTCAAACTTCCCTAAAAGCAGTGCCATCCCTGTTTCACGAGCCATGATTGTGTCACCATAAAGACAGATCATTTTACTATTTTTGCTCCAGTCTTCTAACCCAAATTTATTCTGTTCTTTTATCCCGTTAGTATATCATTTTTCTCTTGCTTCAGATTCAATGTTCCTTTATCTTATCCATTTCGGAAAATTGGTGTCATCTAACTTGCATGATATTACTAATTTCTAATCTGATACACGATATCAACCGAAGATAATAGCTTCTTCACAGCCCACGTGCCATTTATTCGAAGAAATACTTACGGAATTGAATATAAATATATAATATATTGATGACGAATTCTCAATTGCGTGATATTTATCATCTACTCATTCATATAGTATTAGAGGAGGGCCCACATTATCTACAGTACATTGTTTAGCATGTTTCCAGTTGTAATTCTCTAAGCATATTGATTGCTCGTAAAAGATCTACTTTTTTACAAAACATGGTTAAAGAAGTTTTGATTTTAAGTAATAGATCGAAAATAAAAAAAATTACACACATAGGTTAAATAGTGTTTGGAACAATGATTTTAACACGAAGAAATTGTGTTTTCAACGGTCAAATATAAAATCGTACTAATATAATGTAGACAACTTCAAAAGGAAGTCAATCACGCTTTAAATAAGTAATAAAAATGTACAATATGTGAATTCCATTATCTGAAAATAGATATCATCAACTAAAATCCTTGGTTTTTTCCCTGACATACATTACTTATATCTTTAACCTTTCCACCAATCAAAACTCATCTTAGGTGGTATTCCTTTTGAATGACACAGGGAACCCTGAAGGTCTGGGAACTGAGCTATTGGAGACTCTAGTGAAGATGGCTCTAACAAAGGAGGAGGAAATAAAACTTAAAAATTATGACGGTGACCTATCAAGACTTGGTTCTGCAGAAAGATTTCTTAAAGCAGTGCTTGATATTCCTTTAGCTTTTAAAAGAATTGAAGCCATGCTGTACAGGGCTAATTTCGAAACAGAAGTTAACTACCTTAGGAAGTCCTTTCAGACACTGGAGGTATGACTGGCTTCTATTCATCCCTTGCTATATTCAATGTCTTACTTTCAATTGCATTTTTGTTCTGTCTCTCGTTAAAAACTAATCAATCAGCTGTTCACATTTATCAGGCAGCAAGTGAGGAATTAAAGAACAGTCGGTTATTCCTCAAACTTCTTGAAGCTGTTCTAAGGACAGGAAACAGAATGAATGTTGGCACCAATCGAGGTGATGCTAAATCTTTCAAACTGGACACACTTCTAAAACTTGTAGATATAAAGGGCACAGATGGGAAGACAACACTTCTTCACTTTGTGGTCCAAGAGATCATTAGATCTGAAGGAACAGGTGGTGAATCTGCAAATGAAAATGTTCAAAACCAAACAAATTCCCAATTCAACGAGGACGAGTTCAGAAAGAAAGGATTGCAGGTTGTGGCTGGACTGAGTAGAGACCTTAGTAATGTCAAAAAGGCAGCAGGAATGGACTCGGATGTGTTAAGCAGCTATGTCTCAAAGCTTGAAATTGGGCTTGATAAGGTGAGCTTAGTTTTGAAATGTAGAAAGCCAGATATGCATGGAAATTTCTTTAACTCAACCGGGCTATTTTTGAAAGATGCTGAAGAGGAAATTATTAGGACCAAGGCTGATGAGAGAAAGGCCTTGTTCCTAGTGAAAGAAGTTACAGAATACTTTCATGGTGATGCAGCAAAGGAAGAAGCGCACCCTTTCAGAATTTTTATGATTGTGAGAGACTTTTTAAATAGTTTGGATCAAGTCTGCAAAGAAGTGGGAAGAATGCAGGATAGAACTGTGATTGGTTCAGCTAGATCCTTCAGGATAGCCGCAAGTGCATCATTGCCTGTTCTCAACAGGTACCGTGCAAGACAAGATAGAAGTTCAGATGAGGAAAGCTTATCCCCCTAGTGTTGTATATGAAAGAAATGGGGGTGTCTTAGGATAACACTAAAACTAAAATGATTGTTTTCCCAAATTTAAGTTAATTTCTCCTATTAGGTCCATAGGTATAAAACTCAACAGATTTCATTTCTACCAGTGCCGAGAGAATTCCATCCACAAGCATTAGTGAAGGAGGAAAGATTTCCTTAAGATGAAGAACAAACAGTTAAAGGCATGGTGGGGAAGAGAATAAGCTGTTCACAGGATCTGTACCTCCCTTACCACCTACACTCAGTTTCATAGGCACTCCTACTGTGAAACATTAAATGGGAAGTGCTCTGGTGCAAGACACGCATGACATCCCATAGTTATGATAGGTTTTATTACTAAAGAATATTATGATCTTATATGTATTTTTTGAATCATTTATTCATAATAAATATCAGTTTTTCGCATTTCCTTTAACTAATATATCATGATTAAATATAAAGGAAGAGAGTGGAGATCAATACAAGGTAAGATTTTGGGATATTTCATAAATTCTATCTAGATTAAATTTCAAAAAATCTAAATTAGATATAAATGTTAAGCTTTAACTTAATTCAGAAAGCCTTTCTGAATTTAACAAATCAACTTTTTTTTTTACAGGAACAAATAAACTTATTTAAACAAATTATTATGGGAGAAGATTTAATTACCCTTGAAATAAGTCTTATCTAACATATCCTCTGATTATTTCTTTTATATGTAGATTCTACAAATTTTCATCTAATTAAAATATTTATAGGATATTTTACCCACATTAATACAAATAAATACCACGCATTTGAATTTAGTCCTTACGAATGTAATATCATATTTTTTTACTGGAACGAAAAAGCATATTCAGTATTACTCTTTCATAAAATTCAATTGAAAGATGTTCAAGGAAATTTCAAGACTAGTTATTGGTTCTCACAATTTTCTCAGTAAACGAAAATATCTTGTAAAATAACAATTTTATCACAAGTGATTATGTTATCACATGTCAGCTACGACAAGAGTGTAATATTTGGAAGCATACTTGTACAATCATATTCAATCTATAGTCAAAAGAGTCAACATTATCCACTCTGCAAAATCGTCCAGGTTTTCTAGCCTAAATTTCTACTAGCCTTGAAAAATAAAATGGTTAAGAGATTTTTTGATAGTCACTTATACAAGACTAACTATATATAATGGCTACGAGACTCCACATTTCTGGTTCTTACCCAAGAAAACCTCAAGCAATCCCAGGACTATTAGTGACTGTACAAGATTAGGGAACCTCGAAGCACTGTAACATAACAAATATGAAATTGTGTTTAAAAAACGGTGAATCCCTTCATGCATGGTTCAGACGGGGATCTGCTTTAAGCGAACTGCTAGTGGCATGCTTGCATATCCAACCCCTAAGCAGAAGATCCATTGTACCAGACTGAGAGGTGTTGTGTTGGCAAAGGTTCCCAAGTACTCAACTATTACAATTTGAAAGAAAACAGTGCTACCAAGGACAGCTATGAACACTTGATTATCCCATATGCCTTTGAAAACATCTGTTTCCTCCATCTCACGTGAGTTTACCTCATTGAAAACCTGCACAATCAAACAAATCCACATTTAGTTAGCAAATTCAGTTCAAATCTTTTCTCAGTTACTAATTCATTATTTTCTGATGCATCTGCCTAGGCAACATGTTAAGATTCCATAAAAAAGCATGTCAAGGTTACTAAAAAAATCTTGATCATTAGGGTGTTTAAGAAGTATTACCTGACAGAATACAAATGTGTTGAAAATAAGAGTGTTTAAGACCACTTCAGCATTCGGGCCTCTGAGGAAAAAGATCCATTTTCCTACTGCCTGAAGAAACCATATCACCACAAACTGATACAATGCTTGTCCTAAGATGTTCCTCCACATGACATTGCTGATGAAGTCCCCTCTCCTCCCAACTGGTGCACGCTTCATTAAATCATCAGTTGGAGGTTCTGTTGCAAGTGCAAGTGCTCCCAGCGTGTCCATTATCATGTTCACCCACAAAAGTTGAACCGCTGTGAGGGGTGCACTGCCTAAAGACAAAATTCACGTAAAATCCTAAGATAAAGATTTTTTTTTTTTTTTTAAACATATTTGCCACTCCACTTTCAACGGAATGACAAAATGAATGAAAGGGTGCATGTAAGACAAATTAGGCATAATGTTTTAACCTGTCAAGCATGCTGATGAGAAGTTCACAAGCAATGCAACCACATTTACAGTGAGCTGGAACTGTACGAATTTTTGAATATTTATGTAAACTGAACGTCCCCATTTGGCCACTGTCACTATTGTGGAGAAATTATCATCCAGAATTATGACATCTGCACTTTCTTTAGCAACCTGCACACATCTCCTTGCTTTAGAAGATCTAGATTATTTTATCAAAATGAAATGCATTATAGTCACCATTCCCCTTCCTCTTCTTTTGGTTTCAAATATTCGACCAGGATTGGGTCATATATAGATTTTCGCATGATATATTTATATGACGAGACAAAATGAAACAAATATTTTAAATATGATTCTCTCCTCAGACGTGAATATCTCAAAAGAGATAGATACATTCCCTATTTTGCCAAGGTTATCATGGCAATTGATTCACCTCAGTTCCAGCAATTCCCATAGCAAGTCCAATGTCAGCTTCATGAAGGGCTGGGGCATCATTTGTTCCATCACCAGTTACAGCTACAACTTCACCGAATGTGGTACGTAGGTGTCTCACCAGTGTATGCTTGTCTAGAGGTGATGATCGAGCCATAACCTTAGAAGAAAATTAAATAAATTATATTATATAATGCATCAACCATGTCGCTCGTTAAGGATTGAATCAATTAGATATGTTACTCGTATAAGTATATGAAGCACCTGAATTTTGGGAATCAGTTCAAACAATTCCTCCTGAGTCTTCTCTCTGAAGTCTGGACCCTCAATGGCTATGCCATCATCTGTTAAAATCCCACATTCCCTGGCTATGGCCTTTGCAGTATTAATATTGTCTCCTGTAACCATTCTCACCATTATTCCAGCTGAACGACACACTTCAACTGATTCCTTAACACCAGGACGAACAGGATCTTTGATACCAACAATTCCTATACAAGTGTAGCCAGTTGAAGGAATAGGGTCGTCGGCTAAAAACCCATTTTCCAATTCCATATATGCAAGGCAAAGAGTTCTAAGTGCCTCACCAGCAAATTGGTTGATTGTGCTCGTGAGATACTTACTTTTTTCTTCGTCAATGGAGACAACATTACCGTCTGAGTTTATCACCTTGTCACATGCAGCCAGAATGATTTCAGAAGCACCTTTACAATGAGCCCTTAAGCCTTCTTCAGGGATCCGCAAAACCACACCCATTCTTTTCTTCTCAGAGTTGAATGGCTCAACTTTAACGATCGTACATGTTTCCCTCTCTGCATGAAAATCCCCACCCAAAGATAGGCCAAACTCCAATAGTGCTGACTCTGTTGGAGTCCCCAAGATCTCACGCTTACCTCTCTTGTTAACCACAACCTCTCCTCCAGTGTTATTAAATATTGACTGAAGCAACAGTTTCAAAGCTGAACCTGGTAATTCAGAGGACAAACTAGTATCTTTACTCACTTCCTTGGTATTCATACAAATGCATGTTTTCACCACAGTCATGCGGTTTGTCGTTAGTGTCCCAGTCTTGTCACTGCATATAGTTGTGGCTGATCCCATAGTTTCACAAGCCGCCAAATGCCTCACCAGGGCCTTGTCATTCATCATCTTCTTCATTGCAAATGCAAGGCTCAATGTCACAGCTAAGGGTAGACCCTCTGGAACAGCAACAACGACAATAGTAACTGCAATAGCAAAGAATTCCAACATCTCCATTGCGTCATCTGCTGACCACCACCAGAATCTTCCTTCTTGGAGTTTACGGCCCATGAGTCCTTTCACCAAAACTACAAAGGTTACCACAGCAAAGAATAGTCCTATCTTCCCAATAATGGTTGCTACTCCATTCAGCTTAACTTGCAGTGGGGTTTCATCATCTCCACCTTCACTCAGAGTTGCCATCAACTTGCCCCATTGAGTCCTCATCCCAACAGTCGTAACCAACATGGTGCAAGATCCATCTTGGACCTTGGTTCCGGATAGAAGAAAAGGGTTTTGGGAAGTCACCATCACTGGCTCACTCTCACCAGTTAAACTTGACTCATCAATCAACACAGAAAATCCTGAAACAAATAAGCCATCTGCGGGGACTTGGTCTCCAATGGCAAGATGCACAATGTCACCAGGAAGTAAGTTATATATTGACATTTTCTGCCTGTAACCGTTTCTTGTGACCTGAATGGAAATCTTTTTCTTCTCCTTATCTAAGTCCTTGAATTGCAACGATTGGCGATAATCACTTGATGCTGTCACAAAGACAACTAGTAAGATACTTGCAACAATTCCAAGACCATCATGAGCACCTTTGGGCCAACCTTCCGTTGCTATGCCAACTAGCAGAGACACAATAGCACACACTCCAAGGATCATGAGTGTCATGTCATGTAGGGCTTCAAAAACAAAAATCCAGAAGCTCCGAACTTCACTTTCGGTGAATTTATTGACTCCGAAGAGCTCTTGTCTCCTCTGCCGTGATTCAGAATCACCGCTAAGTCCCGTAGTGGTTGATGTTGAAAGCTTTTCTGCAATGCCCTTTACTCCCCCATGAAATTTAAGCTTCTTGACGTCGTGGCCTTCAACAATAGACCCCATTTCATCGGCACAGATTTGGAAACCGGCAGCTTTAACTTCATCAGGCACAACATAATCGCTTGGTTGAACACCTGTGGGTGTATATGATCACAATTCACAGATAAAGAACTTGATTCTAATGAACAGGCTTAATTTCTATACAATAAAAAAAAAATTGTAAAATGATATTTTGAGAAGCAGTTTTAAAAAACAAGCACCGGAGAATCATTGTAATAATAACTCTTCACTTGACAACCCATTTAACTATTATCGTATTATTACAAATTACAAGTAGGTTGTCAATGGATTGCTTTTGAAAATTGAGTTATCAAAATATCATCACCAAAAACTTTACACTATCAACCAATCAAAATCTGTTATATATGGTAAGAATGATTTTTAAATTATTATTATAAAAGTCAACAAAATCACATCCATAACAACGACGACAGTGTAAAAACTGGATAGACACAGACTAATTGCTCTAAACTTTGAGAATTTTGAATAATTATGAAGAAACTTACCTTGGATAAATTGAAACGCCGCTTTGGAAACCAAAACAGCAACCCTTAGCTTCTCCTGCATTAAGGAGAGAATAAGTCTTTGAGAATCTGCATGTGAAGAGATCCCATGCTGTGTGTAGTATGACTTTAAGAAGGGAATGAGGAATCATATCGTTTACGAGTATTCTCAAAAGAAAAATGGTCTATTACAGTGTTGAAGAATCATCACACTTATAATGAATTTGCATGTTAATAAATAGATCTGAAATCTACCCATTTGAAACCTATATTGAAAAACACGTCAAACCGGAGGTTCAAAATATGCATATAGATATTAATTACCTGATTGGTACGACGCATAGCAGCTGCTTCGTAGCGTTTGGAGATGTTGGCAGTGAAACGAAAGCGTCGTTTGGGGTTCTTTACCACCCCACATACCTTCCTCCATTTTTGAAGAGCCTCGTCAGTAGAGTTTTTGGACTTCACTCCTCCAAAATTCTCATGTAAATAACTCTCCATCACCCTTTTCGTATGCTTCGATCTTTTCCTTCTTTGATGCCTTTTCTGTTATCAATCGTCTCTAAGACTCTTATTAAACCCGAGCTCACGTTGAGAAAGGCATGCTAATATGCAGTAACACTGTAACAGCGACCAGTAGTAACATTGTTAGAAAAATTCAGGTTACGGTTTGGTTTGGATATCTTCTCATTGAAAGGGAGGGAGAGAATGAGTGAGGTGGGAACCTCGTGAAAGGCAAAGAAATGAATGGAAGGGGGAGAGATGAAGAGCAGAGGAGGGAAACGTGAGGATCCGAAATTTTGTAGTGTTTAAGAATGAATAACGGTTTATTTCTTCTGTTGTCTGTTATTTCGGGAAAGTGGGGATGAACGAATTCAGCGGGGTCAACCTTATTTTCTTCAATAAGAAAAAATTGAGAAATATAGAATGCAGTATTCGGTTATTTCTTGTAGCTTCTGTAAATAGGTTAATGTATAAAGTAAGCTTATTACTACTCTTTTCTGTAAATAGGTTAATGTATAAAGTAAGCTTATTACTACTCTTTTGCAGAATCTTTTTATGTTCAAATTTTGGATGTCGTTGGCACCTAAAAAGACTTAGTTTTTATTTCTACGAGAAAGAATGAGCCGACAAAAAGTTGAGTTTCTTTATAAATTTAAAACATACTTGCAATACTACAAATAAAAAGTATGATTTTTTAAATTAATAATTTTTATTTATTTACAATCCCTTTACCCCTTTTATTTATCTAGAAGTCTCCTCTCTTTATATTATATTTTTTAGAAATTTATTAATTTTTTAAGAGAATTGTCATTAGCGAGGATTGAACCCGATGACTTTAGAGATGGAGACCGATACTCCAACCACTAAACTACTAGAATTTTCTAATAATAACTTACAAATAAATTATATTTATATACAAATAAATATATATCCGTGTAAATATATAAATATATAAATACAAATATATTTATATATTTTGATATATTTATATAGTTATATATTTATATGTTGGATGTGAGGGCACACTCGAAAGTGAAAGTGTGTGTCGAGTGAGTTTTCAAAATTTGATGCTAAATTTGTGAGCAGGTATCTTTATATGAGTTTGTAATTTAATGACAGAATATAATCTTTATAATTTTATTTATATAATGATATAAAATAAATTTGGGAAACGCGTTATTTGTTCTCAAGCGAAAAATACCAATTTTCGCTCAAGCGAGACTTGAGTAAGTGAATTTCTTTGAGCTTTAACATATTTTCACTCAAGCAAGAGTCAATCACACTTTCACTCTCGATCGAAAAATACCAATATAATTTATTTGTAAGTTATTATCAAAAAATTATAGTAGTTTAGTGGTTGGGATATTAACTTTCAACCCTAAAATACTCGGGTTCAAATGCTATCAGTGACAATTCATTAACTTAAGAGAATTTTTGGTCTGAAAATAAAAATATTTTCCGAGAAAATATATACAAATAAATATATATTTACATGGATATATATTTATTTGCATATAAATATAATTTATTTGTAAGTTATTATTAGAAAATTCTAGTAGCTTAGTGGTTGGAGTATCAATCTTCAACTCTAAAGTACTGGGTTTGAATCCTGCCCATGACAATTTTCAAATTTAAGTGAGTTTTTGGGTGAAAAAAAAAAAAGACTTTCAACGTCGGTTTATATGGGAACCGACGTAGAATGTGTTTAATATTCAACTTTCAACGTCGGTTCATCCGGGATCCGACGTGGAAAGTACTTTCTACGTCGTCTTGCCTATAACCAATAACGACGTAGAAAGTATATTTTGTAGTACACTAAAACTTTAAAGAATTTCTTTTATTTACTTTTTTTAAGTTGAAATATTAAACTGATTTTAATTTAAGAAATAAATTCAATTTCATTTTTAAAAACAATTCCCATAAATAGTTACGAGAAAATTTATCCAAACAAATTATATACAGCTTTATGATAATAATGAATATGCTGTCCAATTTTTTTCAATGTTAGTTAACCAAGTTTTTAGTTTGAGTCATAGATGTTTTCTAAGAGAAACTATTATTTGAGTCAATAGAATTATTGTACATGATAGATCTTTCTCCAAATATTTAAATAAAAAAATGTATTCAAATTAAATTCAAACATAAATTTAGATTAGAGTGTGTGATCGATTAAAAGATAGTAGCAATTAATTTTCTAATGTGGAAGAAAAAAAAAGTTTGAAGCAACTTTCAAATAGGTTAAAGAACTTAGTTTTCTCCAAGTTTTGGAATTTGTAGTTATACTATCTATAAAAATAATGCATTATATTGATATATAATCAATAAATTTTATAAGAATTACTAATTATTTATTGATTTAAATAATAAATAAATATACCATATGTGGTTCAAATAGTTTTTTCAAATATTTGAATGAATAAGTTAATCTAAAAACTTTGATTTGATTTATTTACTAAATGACATGAGTTAAGATAAGACTAATGAGGATAAAAATGGGTGAATACTAGTAGGTAATAGACATTTGTATTTCACTCCGAAGCTACATTTTATAATGTTAAAGGAACATACATCAAAATGTAACCAGTTTCAAACAGGTATTGAGATTTGGCAGTAGAGAAAAATATGAGGAAACTTTATAAATGACATATAAGTAACGGTTACAAGGAAGAAATTTGATAATAAGAAGATTAAAATGTTACTATGTTTTAAAAAAAATACGAAACCAAATTAAGCAAAATGTTGAAAAGAAATTAATATAAAATAGTGTATTTATAAAGATAAAAATATATTTAAAATTAAATGTCAATGATCTTAAGACAAAAACACGAGAAATTACATTTCTTTTAATTGGTTGTTTCAAACCGTTATCAAAGACAGAAATTGACAAAGATCACCATGTCTTTAAAGAAGAATAAAGAAGCCAAATATTGAAAGTAACCTTATCAAGTGATTTTATGTTATGTAATTTGACTCTAAAGCAAAAAATCTCTTTTTTTAATCATATATATGTTAATTGATCTTATCTTTTATCTTATTCAAATTATTCAATATTCATTATTAATACTTTGTTTTTTCTAGAGAAAATTTTAGAAAAGTTCAGAGAGAATTTCTTTTATAAATACCATATTTACTATTATTCAATCCAGTTTTAATATCAAAACTGAAAAACAAAATCATAAATTTTCAATTTTGTCTGTTGTCAGTTTATAATAAATAGAATAATTTAGGGTTTAAAAATAATTTAAACCAATTTGATTAAATATTAGTTAACTTATTTATTTTAAATAATTTAAGTTGATTGGTTATAAATTGTATATTTATTTCCCAAACTGTTATGGTGCTAGACTAAAAAAACACACAACTCTGAATAGACAGAAGAAAATGATTACGGGGACCAAAAATTGATAAATTAAACTTTGAATGTGTATCAAATGAATAGGAAATCTGGGTATTGGACAGAGGAAATTGGATAGCAAATGTTACACGAAAACGTGAAATAGATAACGGCGAAATTAAGGTGAGAGCATTTATTAGTCGTCACATGTGTCATTAAGTTTTCTTCCCACCACCAAACAACATTTATGGTCTTTCAGCACCAATTCATCACTACTCCCCAAACCTCAGTAGGTATATGTCAAGCACTCATCTTTCATTCAACAATTTTGAACAAATTAAAATAATAATATACCTTTTGTAGTAAACTTTTAATATATTTATCTGATAAGGCCTGATTAAACAATCAAAATACAAACGTTCACCACTAAACACTTTTTATTATGATAACCAATATGTTCTTACTATAGCCGATAGCAAGACTTTGATGATGAAAATAAAAGCATTGAAAAATCTCCCTTTTCACAACCGTGTCCTTCTGTGTATAGTAGTGGGAGAAGCCAGAGAAAGAGATGAGGGGTTTGAATCAATTAGGGGCAGTTGAGACCATCTACGAGGAAGAATGCGAGTTTTCCTCAACCTCTTCTCCTTCCCCTACGCCGTCATTTTCCTCTTCTCCTGCGTCCCTTCACTCCAGAGTAAAGGCCTGGTAACAAACAAATCCTTCCTCCATTATTCATCTCTTGCGTTTTCTTTGGGTGTCGTATCACTCCAGCATTGTCTCCAATTATGTTTACTTTCTCATTTTTATACTAAAAATTCAACTAGGTCTCTGAAAATTGGCCGTGATACAGATGTCTTGGTTCGTGTTCAAGGAGTATGTTTTCGTCTCCACAAGGTTGGTTGATCTACCATTGTGATTTGCTGTTTGATTTGCTCTTCAACCCTGTTTTTCTCTGAGGCTTGAATGTGGTTACAGTGTTGGTTTTTGAGCGGAACAATTTCTTTACCAACTTCATTCTTTGATTCACCGTGAGCCTTCTATACTTGGCTATACACAATCATAAATACCCGCATCCAAACTTTTACACTCATAATAAAAAATTAACAATAATCTTAGAATTAAGCAAGTGATATCTGGCAAAATGTTTGGCTGGATTTGTAGTTTTCATGCTTGCAATTACTAGGGTTAAAAAAGTTAAAACGCAAACCAGATTATTTGCAGTTACAGTAGAAAAAATTAGTATGATTAAAACCGCATTGCATGCTAGATCCCATTAAAGAGAGAATAACCTATGAACAGGGTATATTAATCTAGTTCCAGTTAGGGAAAAAACGTTAAGACCTAGCTTTGTTCTTCAGTATTTTAAGTCAAAATGTTGTTAACATGCATACCTCAATAGTCAATTCAACAGATGTATGTATATCAGCCACTTAAGCTGAATAGTTCTCATCTTATTAAAAATACATAGCATGTAGTTGTCATTGTCCTATACCTAAAATCTAGAGGAACCCAGCAAGTCATTTTCTTATACCTAAAAACTAGAGGAACCCAGCAAGTCATTTTCCTAATAATCCCACTCAATCTAGGATACGGAACAGCTACTGCTAGCAACATATTCACGTAATCTCAACCAAGCTTCCTGACAATGCTGCTAATTGCTGTCGAGTCTGAACCTCACGAACATTGTAAAATGAAATAATAGGTTATAGAAACAAAGATCATTATACCAAGTATTATTGTAAAATTCGTTAGTGTATCATTCGTATATATTATAAATTTATTACGTAATTAAACAATGTTGTGATGATTAGTTCAGTGGATAGTAATAATTAAGAATCCATTTCATGTATGGTGTGGGAAGCTTCAGTGACGCCCTGTTTTGTCTTTACATGATCCTTTTATATCTGTTATTGCTTTTGATGGCGCGGCTTTTAAATCCTAATAAGACAGACGTAGGGACATTCCTTTAATTTAATTATTACGAGTTACATAAAAATAAGCGCTGTACATTTTGGAGCTGATAGTGAAACGATGGACACTCATGATGTTCTCCATTTTTACTTTATTTCCAGGACCGTGTGGTTTCACAAAGCTCATACCTAAAACGCCGTCTAACCGAAACTTCGGACCTCACTATCTCTCCCCCGTTAAACATAACTGCGGACACCTTCGCCGCCGTAGCCCATTTCTGTTACAATGCCAAAGTCCAAATGACGCCGGCAAACGTCGCCGTCATCAGAATGGCGTCGGAGATGCTGGGAATGACGGCAGCTGACGGCCTGAGCCACGTGGCGGAAATGCGGTTCTGGGAAGTCGTTTGCAATAACCCAGAGCAGGCGTTAACGGTTCTCCGTTCGTGCATGCCTTTACTTCCCGAGGCTGAAACGACGGCGTCTCTTGTTAGCAGATGCATTGAAGCGCTTGTTTCAGTTCACCGCATTACTCGTTTAAATGAGGTGAATGAAATGCAGCCTCCACATTTTCAAATTGTGGTGGAATCAATGGGAAGAAGGTTCGAGAATCACGACGTGGTGTACAAGATGGTTGATTCGTATCTTCAGGTATGACACGTGTCTCGTTTTTATTAGATAAAAGTTATGCGATCACTGTTGATTTTAGAGGCATATATGTAATTTGTGAAGGAAAACAAGTTTGCGAAAGTACCGGAGGAAGAGAGAAGTGGAATATGCAGTTGCATAGATTGCACGAAGCTCTCGAGTGGGGCCCTGTTAGAGTGTGTTCAAAACCCTAGAATGCCCTTGAGATTGGTGATGCGAGCGGTGCTGGTAGAACATCTCAACACTCGCCACTCCATCGCTATGGCAAGCTCTCAAGTTCAACGTCATCAACTCCGACTCGAGAGTAACGTGGGACGACAACGACGTCGCTCCATGACGCTCGGTGACTTCATCCATCGCGACGCGGCGCTGCGGCAAACGGAGCGACTGAAGACAGTGATGGATTCCACGAATGAGCGCATTCGAAGCCTGGAAGAAGAGGTGAGGTGCATGAACAGAGTGTTGAGGGAATGTGAAGGGAAGGAGGTGGAAGAGGAGAGGGGTGTGTTGGGGTCAGAGCGTTCGGCGAGTTTCCATTTTGTGCCGGTTGAGAATGGTAGAGTGAAGAAGGGGGAACGATGGTCGAGTTCGTCTTCGAGAATTGAGTTAGATGGGAGAATGGAAGAGCATCAGGGGAAGAGGTCTTCTTTCTCTGTGGATGTTGGGCGAGTGAACCCGAAGACGAACGGGACTTTTAGGCAGAGGTTCATGATTGGACTCAAGAATGCGTTTAGGGTGCCAAATTCAGCTTCAACTTGACTCAAGCAAGAAACCACGTTGCTCCGTGTAGACAAGTTTGGAATTGAAGTGAGATATAAACTTGTAACCTTACATCTCAATTATGCCAGAACAGGGCATCTATAATACACATTGTTTGCTTATTTTTAATTTTTCGGTTCTAAAACACCCATAAAATTTAGAATTTTATATAAAATCCAACCTTAAATTTTGTAAATGATTTTTTTTATTAGCATTAACATAGTAATATCTTAAACGATTTTTTTTTATATGTTATATGTTTCAATAATAGAAATTAGTAGACAATATTATTTATCTTTAAACAATTCACGCATATACATACTTTTGCATTAATTAAATGTTTAATCATCCATCTAGTTTTATATCACTACAAATCTTATTTTACCCTCATAGGTCTAATGTAGACGCAACATACTACTTGAGACTGGAAGTTCGTGAATCTTCAAAATTTTGCTTACATGATAGAAATAGATGTTATACTTGTATCTTGGATAGACCTGTGGTCAAACTAGCGGTTAAGGGACTAACTGATGTTTAAAAAAGTTGACCTTAGACTCTATACTCGTACTCGACATATCTAATTAAAATGTCACCGTTATGACAGATTATCCAGTATTATTAAGTTAAATGTATTATATAACACGTGAAAAAAAAGGAAAAGAGAGACATCACTTTGAGAGCTTTTAGATCATATCATCCTTACGTAGCAAACAAAGCCACAGAGATCAACAAGGAATATTGGCTCATTTTGGAATTTGAGTGTTCATTACATAATTCCATTAAATATTCAAAAAAATAGTTGTTTATATACATAATAATTATATTATTATTAGTAGTAAATAATATATATATATATATATATATATATATATATATATATAACCTAATAGTAAGAAATATGTAAAAATAAAAAATAAAATAAAACTTGTATATAATATATTTTTTACTAATATTTAGGAACGTACATCTACTTATCTTCAACCTTTATTACTCTCGTTTATTTTTTATTAAATTTTTGTTTCTCTATTCCGATCACATTTATTGTCCTTTTCTCAACTTTTACTTTCACTTTTTCACTTGCCCTTCTTCCTAGTTGAATGTACAATTTTCATTTTCCTTTTGTACAGCTTTTACAATATTACTTCAAAATTTTATTATTTCTTTATGTTATATACATCATTCATTGGATCTCTAACTTTCCTTCTATTTTCTTCCTGTGTGTTTATATGATTGCACACTTTTTTGCAACAACTTTATTATACAAAAGAAAAATCATTCCTAGAAATTTTCTTTAACTAACTTTTACAAGGTAAATTAAAAAAATAAAATAAAAAAATAACAGTCGCAAGAATATGAGCGGTGTAGGACGCATATACATTTTATATTAAAGAAGAAGAAAAATATAAACTTCAACAGTTTTTTTTTTTAAATGTAGAAATAAACTAAACAAATAGATTATCACCATTATATAGGGTAAAACATTTCTAACCCATCATGAGTTGGAATTACTGAGTCGATTTTTTTTTGTGTGTGTGTGTGTTTACATTTTGATACGTCATGTTAGGTTATTTCAATTAATTCTCACAATAAACATGGCTTCTGCTTGATATGCTCGCAATAATTGTGCTCATAAACTCTTTTTTTCATATTATTCATTAGTTTTTTTTTTTCTTCCCATTATCTATTACTTTTTTATTTCTCTTCCTTTCACAAGCATAAAGTTTTGTTTATTAGAACTCAGAATATTTTCAACTAAAGACAACTTCTAAGAGTACAATGGTAAGGTTGTCTATTATATATTGACTTAGGTTAGGTAACAATATTTTATACAACATAAATTTTTTCATATGAAATCTTTTGCAAGATAAGTGAGAATGATTCTCATGTAATATTCCATCCTGTACGATGAAAGGAAAAATATTACTAATAAAATAACTTATAATAGACAGGTAGTTTTATAGGCATTGTGATGATACATCTTGGACACTTTACAACTGTTGTACAAAATAAATCTATGCACGTCATCATTCACAAAATCAACACCCCATCTTATATTTGTGCTGTGGCAAACAACAAATTTTTTGTTTTTGTAATATTCGAGGTGTTCGTGCAAAATACATAATTAATATTATAAAGCTCCTCGATTATTTCATATGATCATATCTACTATGTGGGAAAGAAAAGTATTCTTACGTGTATTGAGATTAATATGAAAATATTTTTATGATACCAACTTTAATTTAAAATAAGAGATTTATATTTTTTTCTCTACGATTATATATGATTGAGTTGACTAATCCACCAATTAGCGACTCTAATAATTTTATCATTGAATATTTTTAAAAGATTAAAACAGATATTTAACTAAATTTAAGATATTAGATATTATAAATAGTGTTTTGTATTCTTTTCATTGAAAAGGATAACTAATTGAGTACACGGATGCCATTCAAGTTACATCAAAAACACTTATGAATTCGCGTTTGAATAAATGGACAACTCCACACGAAATAATTGGTGCGGCTAAGAATGAATCACACTGAACTTCAGAAAAGAATGAATCACACTTTGAATTTCAGAAAAGAATGAATCACACTTTAAACTTCAGAAAAAAATTATTTAAAAATTAAATACTAGTGATTTAAAAAATATATATTTCTTAAGAATAAAAATTTAATAAAAATAAAGAACATGTTTTAGTTTATTTTTTATTATAGATATATTAAATTAAAAACAATGTATTATAAATGTTTGATATTTTTTTAATTTAAAAAAATATTTATTCAACATATAACAAATGCAATATTTTTTATGATATTTTTATACATTTTAATTAGGAAAAAACTCAAGTCAAAACGAGTATAATAATTCTATATAAAATTTTACACCGCCCACTAATAAAACATAATCATAATCATAGGTATATATTTTAAAATAATATTTATATAATTGAGATATAAATTTTATAAATTAATTTTTTAAAATTGAATTAGACATATCTTTATTTTTAATAAATAATATCAAATTAAATATGATTCTTAATAAAATATCAAATTATTTTCTACATTAATATATTTATCATGTTAAATTTTCTTCCTTTTTGAAGAAAAAGATGTATTAAGGTGTTTGATAAAAGAAAAAAATTTCAAGATGTAGAAATATGAAACTAAGAATGTTTCATGTTTGGTTTATCATTTAAGACTAATATTTTTAGAAAAACTGTTAACCAAAAATATTTGTTTTTACAAGTTTTCTGTTTTTCTTTTTTCTTTTTTTAAAGTAAGTACTTAACATAAGGTAACTAAGTTACCATTATGACATTATCTCGAAATGATTATATATATATATATATATATATATATATATATATATATATAAACATTTTATTAAAATTAAATGTGATTATCTTTTATTAGAAAAAAATATATAATACTTAAAAAAAAATATTTAATATCAATTAACTTTGTATTAATTAATTATTCTCGTACAGGACAAATAAAATCTTCTAACAAATACATCTTTAATGTCTATACAAACTTTTTTTTTGTTTAATAAATGGTATTTATAATGTTCATATAGAAAGTTGGAATAAAATTTAACTCTTGTTTATTACAAGGTGGTTTAGTGTACTTAGCATTTTTTTAAAGTATTCAAATATTTAATATTTAATTTTTTTAAGAATGAAAATACATGTTGGAATAGAATTTAACTCTGGAAATACTATCTATGCTGCTCTCGTGTATTTAGTATATTAAAGGTAATAGAAATATTTATTATTTTTCTAATTTAAGTAGACAAAATATTTTAGATATAATTCAATTCTCAAAACATAATTCATGTTCAGAGACCATTATAAGAACAAACTTCAATCTCATTTACAAGCAACAAACAATTTGATGGATTCAAATAAAGAAAAATTTAATCACTTTTTAATATGTCTGTATACGATTCTTAATTATTATTTATTTCTTAACTATTGTCCTCGTGATAGAACTAAATATTATTAATTAATGTAATCATCAGTGTTTTTTTTTTACTTGTAACATTTTTTACCTGTAACATTAACTAATTATTATATACGCTTTTTGCGTAAACTTTAACTAATAAAAAGATATGTACAAGTTTTCCATATGGAACGATACAGAGTGGAAGGTTGATTCCGTGAAGTGTATTTCTCATTTATCCGCAACTGCTTTCGTTTTGCAATTGCTAATCAGTAAAATGCCAAATCAAATCCTCACTAAGCTTCATCTAAATTACAAACGTTAGCCATAACAGAAAACGGTTACGGAGACACTCTATTTTATTATTTTCGCCGCTTCATTCTTCTTCCTCCACCGCAGATGACCACCGCGAAAGCGTCGCCACCGCCTTGTAGCTCCGGCTTCTTCCGCAAAATCGAATTCGGACCGTCGACGGCGGCGGAGACGCTAGGGTTTGCCAAGCTCTGCCGAATCAATGTCGGCGGATTATACCGAAGTCGCAGAAGCTTCGTCCTCCGGGCGAGACCGAAGCCGATTAAGGCGAAGGAGAACGCAGGCGCTTCTCTGGTTGATGACTGGTTCAAGCCAATTAAGGCGAAGGAGGATTCTGACACAGAGGACCGTGCCACTGCGTTTTCTGGTACTGCGGTTTTCGTTTACAGTTTACTATTAAGATCTGGAATTAAATGTTTTTTTTTCCTTCTGAAATGCAAATTATAAGACTCGTTGTTGTAAGCTAATTTTCGACCAGCTTCTTTATACCGTGCAGAGAGGAATTTAGATACATTCGGAATCTTAACATTTTTTATTTAAAAAATTATAAATAAGAATACGCCTGTTTGAATTGGTCACGCGCATTCTAATTCAACCATATAATTATTTGAAAAGACGCGAGGTAAGAAATTCGTGTTTTACCATTTAAAAATTGTACAGCTCAGCTACGTGGGTCATAATCAAAATTCAGTGCCTTGAAGATATAGCAAGCAACTTTTTTTCATCTATACTGTGCCGAACATTCAATTTATAATCGATGCATCTGTTCTCCCGAAAAAAACGAACAGATTCTTGTTGAGTGGCTCTTGATAGCTGATAAAGCCTACTAGGATTATTTTTCTGGTAAGCCTCTTCATCGTGCTCATAAATAATAGAAGAAAAAAAAAGGTAAGTTTACTTTTTTGCTCTTATTCTTTTGAGGCTTGAAATGTATTTTTGTAAGTCTTCTTGCGGCTAAGTGAAACAGACGATTTATTTGTTGAATTTCGGTTGAGTAGAACTGGAATTCTAGTTGACTTTGTTGAAATATTGTGTGAGGATTGAATATTGATGCATACGTATGGGTACTTGACTTTTCCCCTTTCATTTATTTTCTACCTTTGAAGCGAATGAATATATGATTCTTCAGGGAATTAGGGCTCTAATTGTTCAGAGTTAACCAATCTATTATCTAACTAGGTAAAAATCTCCCCCAGATGTCAAATGTTGGGAACTCAACAAACATTATGTGGCATGACTGTCCAATTCAGAAACAAGATAGACAGCAGCTGCTTCAGCAAAAAGGCTGCGTTATATGGCTAACTGGCCTCAGTGGATCAGGTTTGTGGCATTTTAGATAGTTCGTGTAGCTGAAAGTCTGATTAGTTCATTTATTCTAGTAAAGAGCATGGTTTTGAGCACTGATCAAGCATAGAGTCCAGACTTCGTTTTCGCGTATCTTAAATGCCTCTTGGATTCTAAATTCTGTAGGTGATTTGGTTTGTGGTTCTGTCTAGGCTTCACGTGATTTTGTTTATATGTTGTCTGATGTCTTACATTCAATGATTGCAGAAATGGTGAGCATTCGTGTTGGTTTATGCTCCATTTTTTTGTAACTGCTAATGTTGTTATATAAGTGTCCCTTCAAATGTTGCAGTGTCGTTTTTCTCCACCTCATTTCTTTAATCTATTTGTAACTACAGTCGATAAATTTTCACCTGACAAAATTGACATGACAGATGCCAAGAAAGTAACACACTAGTCACACTTCAATTTTACTAGAATATAATAATGTCGATCTGTACACTTAGTGCTTACAACTGATCTTGGCATAGGCTAATATAAACCCAGAATAGACAAAATCACCCAACATATAGTTCTACTATTTTTTCCAGCAGATGAATTAACTAATCTGCCACATGAAGTATGCATTTCTACTGAAAATTGCCTTAGCAAGTTATTGGCGTTGAAATCCCCTTGGTGCAAATTACTGACTTTTACTTGCCTATCTTACAACCAAGGTCTACCAATTTTGTTCTTCAATTAAGCTCAGGTTTAGTTCAGCACTTGTTCATGTGAAATAAAAGTTGAAGTTGTTGAAGTCCTAGATCAGTAGCCCAGTCAGTGAGTTTTCTTTGCCCATCTATGCGGTAAATAACAAAAGTATAATGTAATATACAGTAGATAGATCCTTATCAAATTATGCTTACTGTGATTTTCCCTGATTTGTTAACATAATGTATGAGTATCCCCGATAGATTGCCTATGAGAATTTGTTTTTATTTTTAATGTATTCTCTTGGTGATCTTCTTATATATGGATTAAAGTCCACGCAAGTTAAAAATTTGAGTAATAATATCTTGAAAATGTGTAAAATATGTAACGTGGCATTGGCTGAAACAGTTCATGTCTGTTGTCAACAAACATAATTCTGCAGATGAATGAGATGATAGCATGTATGATGAATTTCTACACGTTAGGATATACCATTATTTTCATTCTTCTAGAATCTGGATTCCTTTACTCCTTCCCTCCCACTCTGTTCCAGTCTTCCAGACTCGTTAATCGTTATTAATTGCAGGAAAAAGCACTATTGCATGTGCTTTGAGTCGAAGCTTGCACTCCAGAGGAAAACTGTCATACATCCTTGATGGTGACAATATTCGGCATGGTCTAAACCATGATCTTAGTTTTAGAGCTGAAGATCGTTCAGAAAACATTCGAAGGATTGGTAGTTTTTCTATATTCCCCTATATATTCCAGTAATATATTATATTTCTATTATAACCAGACATCACAATTTAAAAATTTTCAGGCGAGGTGGCAAAACTCTTTGCAGATGCTGGTGTTATTTGTATCACTAGTTTAATATCACCATACCAAAAGGATAGAGATGCATGTAGAGCACTACTTCCCAAGGGAGATTTTATAGAGGTATTATTCTTATTGTAGTTATCCAAATAATTCACTTTGTTTGGTCTATACTAATAGTATGTTGTATAATTATAGATTAAGAAAAGGTTCTTCGTAAATCATAGGTAACACAATGCACACACGTTGCAGGTTTTCATAGACGTTCCACTACAGGTGTGTGAAGCTAGGGACCCAAAGGGACTCTACAAGCTTGCTCGAGCTGGAAAGATCAAAGGTATGTTGATCAAAATTACTCCTTGCAATCTAATTTGGTATAATGTACTGTTGGATTCGGTATCCGACTACATTAACATCATCAGTTCGGTTACATTATTTATTTTCCTTTTTTTCTACTCAATATTGTGGGGTAACGGTTATCCTAATGGGACTGCATTATTGATTTGGTATCGTGCAGGTTTCACAGGTATAGATGATCCATATGAAGCACCGTGTAGTTGTGAGGTTTGTAATTGTTGCTTTGTTTGCGTTACCATTATTACGTTGAATTTTATTTGCCATTTTTCCACGTGTTTTTTGAACAACAATATCTCTTACTGATTACTCAGTAAAACCCTGTGTTAATCAATGATGGAGTCACCATCGACATCAACCATACACGTTGTTAACGAACAACAGAGTCCGCATTAACTGGTTTAAAAACTTCAGCATTCAATGGACTACCAAATAGCAAATACCGTCCCTATTATAATTCAAAATTTTAGTTCTCTTTGCTGGGGAACCAACTTGGAAGGAAAAATTATTGTCTTCTGAACAGGGTTGTTTATTCTTTCTTTCTTTTTTAATTTATTTTCTTTTTCTTTGCTTTCTCTGAACTTAGATTGGATAGATAGGTTATAAGCTTACTGATTTACGGTATAAGCCAGTTTTAGCCTCAGGCTTTCCCTTTCGGAAATTTTATCCTGAACTTTCATTTCTCGGATTCTCAATCTTTGTTTTCGATTTTATTAATTCCAGTTTTCGTATTCATTTCAAAAGATAGAGCCTTCTTTATCTTGCAGATAGTGTTACAACAGAAAGGAAGTGGCTGTAAGTCTCCCAGTGATATGGCTGAAATTGTGATATCCTACTTGGAGGAGAATGGATACCTGCGGGCTTGACTTCATTTTAAATCCTTTCTTTGTTGATTGCTTTAAAGGGGCTTTTGTTGTAACCTGTAGTTATATTGTGTGTAATGTAATTTTTGGCGCATAAAAACTTGCTCCTTCCATGGTCCTAGCCAATCTCTACATGACATAGCTTTTTATTTCTGAAAAATAATTAATAATACTTAATTAAAATGATGTCATGTGGAAATTAGTTGGGACCATGGTGTTCCCAATAATTTCTCCTTTCCAGCAGTTAGGAAATCATCGTTTCCTGCACATCTGCTTCAGGAAAAAATAAGAAAAGGTAGAGCCATGGGGAAGGACTAAGGAGTTACCGCCGATTGGTGCACCGCCTAGGAACAAAGTATTTATTTAGTGTATTTGATATGCATCTTTCAGTCAATAATTAGTTGTCGTGGAATGTGTAGCGCGCGTGAAAGTCTGTCATCCTAAGAGTTACGCTACAGTAACTGGTAACACTGGGAGTTCTTTGTCTTCGACATTTCTGTGTCGGGCACAGCAAGGGATATACATTTTAGATAACATGAAGTAACCCAGTGAGCATAATTCTTCAATTTCAACGAAAGTTAGTAGACCTTACCAATCAAGGAATGGTCTGTCGACAAAGACACGTCTTTTAACTTACAAGTAAGGGGAAAGTTTAAAACTATCAATTCAAGGTGCATTTAGTGTATGAGAATCTTACTTTTAAGAAACGTAAATTCTTATGAATCCCGGGTTGAGGGTACTTACGAATTGTTGAACAGGGGTACTAATGGATGGGTAAACCTTTTTGCTTTCTGTTCTTGGTAATAACATTTGAACAGCAGGAAGTATTCTGGCCACAAAACAAAATCAGTGTTCGGATGGAAAATGGGCGTGGACAAGAAAAGGGAGCGGGGCCGGGGATATGGGTGTGGATGTTTGGCCGAGAGCAATCTGTTGAATAGTATAGCACGATCTGAACTGAACAAGTGCACATTATTAGTGAATTTGTGGCATAATGCAGAGAATATGTGCAAAGAATTTGTGGCATAATGCCAAGAATATGAGCTTTACTACCAGACCTTATTCCACGATCGTTACGAAAATATACTGGATTTTAGTTAGGATTAGGGATCGCAATTAGCCAAACCAATGCAGTGATGGGTATCGGGGGCAGCAGCCAATATGTAAGAATTCAAAATTTGATTAAAAAAAGGTGAATGAATCAGGCAAACATACATTTATTAGATATTGAAGAATGGTTACATCAGAAAGAGGTAAAGGCAACTACCATATCACCTCGTCTATGCCTATGACTACTACGGATAGACAAGATGCAGAAGAGCAATGTCATGGTTACTGACACCGCAGCAGAGGCCACAGCGTCGAATGTGTAGGACCATCGGCGTTCCTGCAGTGCCCACAGCGTTTTGACGAAGCTTCCAACACCGTCTATCACCATTGTTAGCAAATGTGCCATCTTTGGAGAGCAATATTGCAAAGGTGAGGAGAGTGGGATATTTGTGAGTTGTTGATTTGGGAACTAGGAAGCAGCTGATAAAGGGAAGACGGTTGCTTCCGCGATGTTTCCTATGTTTTATCTTATTCAACGAAACTTTGTATTTGGGAAGCAGTGACAGGGTCAAGTGGGGACAGGTGCAGAGCAGTTACCCGCATCATGTAAGGGAAATACGCGAACTGGAATCACCAAAGCAAAGCGAATCACACGAAGTAAAGTTTTATCGTGGCGTCTGCTTAACTACAAAGCCTTTGTGCCTACCCCCCTCATCCAAATCCACCACTTGGAACCATTCTTTTAACTCTTATTTAATCATTAATTCATATAAATGTTTTTCTATAATAACGTACTCGTGTTAACAATGAATTTGTTTGACAAGAGGTAAAAAGGATATATGAAAAACTAATTTTCCTTACCTTCCTTACAAACACACAGCTCCACCGTGATAGTTTTTCCAATTCCTTAAACCATTACAAATAATTTAGTTTTGTCTAGTCGTGTTTTTTTTTTTCACACAAACATTTAAAATTTAACAGATTATATGTAGTATATATATATATATATTAATTAGGCATCATCATAGTGAAAAGCGTGTAATCGCTTTTAACTTTAAATGTCCAATATCTTCTTTTACGTATGCTTTAAAAAAATTATATATGTTATCTCCCTTATTAATTGGATGACAAGTTTTTCAAGTATCTAAATTATTAAAAAACATATTCTCTTTGAAATAAAGTAGATTATTCAAATGAGCATTTCATCATGTCTTTTGGAATTTTGTCATTTGTTAGCAATAAAACCTTACAGTTAGCATAAGCTAAAAAAACAAAAAATAATTCATATTCACTCGTATTAAGAAAATGGCATAATGTGTTATGTATGTTCCATGCATTAGAGGCATGCTAGAATAAAAATAAGTGTTTCTTCAATTAAAAAATAGTTATCTCAAACTTTTTTTTTTTTAGAAAAACTCTACGAAGGAAGTTGCATATGCATTGGCTGATTTTTTTGGAATTAGGGGTAGGAACTCTTAAAAAATTTTAACTTAAATTTTATAACATATGTATTTATGACTTTTACTCTTCAAAAATAATGAGTATTAAGTATATATTTTTATATATTTATAATTTTGTTTTCTATTTTTTTATATTTATTTATTATCTATTAATAATATATTATTTTAGACCAAAATCAATATTCAAGATTTATTACTTCGAATACTTGTATAATACTTCTATAAGCTTTTGCTTTCAACCATCACAAGCTCGTAAACTTTTATAATCTTTGTAAATCATGGTTGTGTTTAAGTTGTAAAAAATACCACTAGTTGAGTTCTATTTTTCATTGTGTCTATATATTATAAAAACCTACAAAAACTTATAGAAAAAATATAATATTTTGGATTAAGCTATCTTTGAATAAGATAACTTTGTCATGAAATTTAAAGAGATTTAAAGAATATGCGATGTGGTAAATAAAAATGATAAAACATGTCCAACTTAACTTATTTGAATAATATGTAAAACAAGTCGAATTAATTTGAAAACAACTGCTGTATAAAAAAAATTCTAGTCAATTTAGTTTATTAACTCAATAGATTTAGGTATGTCCAACCTGTTTATAAAAATAATAGTTAGAATTTAAGAAAATTTGAAATTAATAATATTTTTAAAATAATTAAAATTTATATATCAAACTATTATATTTAACAATTAAAAACAATTTTATCTGCAAGACTTAGATTTAAAAAAAATATTTTATATTTTACATTTTTATTTTTGAATTGGGTCTATAAACTTAACTTGGAACTAGAACTAAAAATTTATAATTTGTTCAACATTCATCCCAGTCATTAAAATTTTTTCTTTATTCTTATGTAACACATGTACTAATAATAATTAGAGATGATAAAACAAATCAATGATAAGATGAATTAGTAGTTTTATTCTATCAATCTGTTTTAGCTTGTCTAACCTAAAACATCAACTCGCTTTAAAAAGAAATATTTATATATTAAAATTAAAATTAAAAAATTATAATTAAAATATTATATCATGTTATTGAAACATATAAATGTACTATAATATGATAATTTAAATTATAAATATTAATTAATTAAATTTAAAGTATTAATTATAATTAATTATTTTAATTAGGAGTGTCAAAATAAGTTTAACTTGATGAACCAGACCGAAAGACCTAATAAATAAATCATGTTAGGTCAAAACATTTGTAGCCTAAATTGAATTAGACATATTTTAACTTAATTTATATAAACTTAGGTCATACCTATATAAACTTAAGTCAAGCTAGTTCACAAGCTTATAAATCAACCCATTTTATAAAATAATAATAATATTTTTTTAAATAAAAATAAAAATAATAATGTTTATTATAAAATATATATGTAATATAAATTAACAAGATATTCACTTACTCTAAGAATAAATATCAAAATAAATATCTAATAATCACTTATTCCAAGATCAAATAATTAAAATTAATTACTATTTTAAATTAATAAAAAACATAAAATAATAATAAAAAATAAGTTTTTAATTCTTATTTTAAGATTGAATGGATACATTCTCTTATCATTTATATATCAAATAATTATATCTTAAATAAAAACTAATTTCATTAATAAAATCTATATTTTCAAAATATTTTTTTAATTGATTAATTTTTTATAGATATGTTAATATTTTAAACAAAATCAATCAGATAAAAATTGGCTCTGTTGGCCTAACATAAGACCAAACTTGATTAAATTTTTTAACTCATTTTAACATATAAGTCTGTGTAATCAAATTTATTTACTTAGTCGGTAGGACTAAACTAGGTTGAATCACTCATTTTGACAACTCTAATTTTAACACACAAATATAATAATTTTTTAATTTATCTAATAAAAATATTAATAAATAAAAACTTAAAAATTATTTATATAATTTAAAATATATTTAAATATATATATATATATATATATATATATATATATATATATATATATATATAAAACTTGATATAAAAAAATATCGATTGACTGACTCACTGATCCATCAGTTTATCCTTTGACAAAACTGACCAGGATAATAACTTGCTTTAACTATGACCATCAAATGAATGAATGCATGAATTTAAGGTTCAACTGAAGTTCAACTGGGAATTGAATTGAAGTTGAACTGAATTTAATAAAATAAATATTTTAATAATATAATAATATATTGAACTTAAAATAAGTTTATTATAATATAATAATAATTTTAATCCAATATAAATACTATTTGAAAAATATCATATAATAATAATAATGATTTGTAGAATATATAAATAAAAAATAACATGAATAAATATATCATCAAACATTTGGAGTATAAAGTAATTAGAGAAAATAATTAGGGAAAAAAACTACACTTAATTTTAAAATAATTAGAAAAAATATTACACTTAACTTAAAAAAAAAATCAAGGGGAAAAAATTGCACCATATATTTCATTACATCTAATATCAATTTTATTCTTAATATGAAACCATCACAATTTTAGAAAATCCCAATTTGAAGAAAACCCTACTTACAGGAAACTTCAAATTTAATTTCATGAAATATGCTCTGAAAAATTCCTCCAAAAATATTAATTTTTTATGGTTTGACATCTTTAAAATTGTTTTATCAAATTAATTTTCGAGATAAAGATATTATAATTCTTACGTGTTGTTTTCATCAATGATTATAATGATGAAATAATATATCATAATGATAGTAAAGATGACCCTGAAATAAGACAATCAAAGATAATTGATGACAGTGACAATTACAAGAATAAAGACTACAATGAAAAAAAAATATCACCACCAATATAAAAACCTTTTCTCTCATTATTGTATGTCTCTACTTTAAATGGAAGAAAAAAATAATATATATATATATATATATATATATATATATATATATATATATATATATATATATATATATAAATACAATACGACATCGTTTAACCCTTGAATAATTTTTGACTCGTTCGATTTCACAAATTTTTGATCGGTTGATTATTCGTTCAATTTTTAAGGAACTCCCAACCAATTATCAGATCAAATCCTAGTTCATGCAGTGAAACCGATTAATCTGATCCGATTTTGATAACCATAACTATGACCTAGTAACTTGTCCCGCTCTGTTTTTACGCACTTGAGACAAGACAAAAGAAGATTACTTAAAAAAATTTCGTGGTTAAGATATTGAACATAACTTTTATAACAAATTAAAGCATTATAAAATCTTGGTGTGTTTTTCTATTCTCTTTCTTTTACCCTTTTGCCATTGTATGATCTCTTTTCAGAATGATTATTCACGGACAACTGAACAATTGTGTGAGGCAATCCCTCCCTCTCAAAGAAGAAATAAATTTTTCACGTGCCTTGATCAAAAGACTCCAAAAAAAGAGTGCATTCGTCCTCATACCCAGCAACTGATTAATATTTTTGGAAATTTGAATGTGTATTTGTGAATAGTGTTGTAACGATAAAGTGAACAAGGATAAAGAAAAACGTTTCATGGCTAAATTATAATTCTATAGTATACATACAAGCTACACTGACAAATAAACAAAGGTAGCCAAAGTCAGCGTTGAATTTTAACCTGCATCTCCTTGGCCATGGAAGGTAGCCACCTCTCTCCCCTAATCTTTTTCAAATTTTCAACTCTTTCCTCTTCTCTTTTGGCTTTAGCTTTTGCTGCTGCATCTTTAGCTTCTAGTCTAGCTAATGACTTCTTGCATGAATCGTGTGCTGCAGCTACTACATCTATCCCATTCACAGCAACAGATCTAATCCGTTTTCTAAACTGCCGAGTTAGAAGATAGTCGTTAAGAAAATAACCAAATAGACACACCAATAGAAAAAAGAGAAACAATATATATATACAACGAAAATTTTGGATTAATAAACTATTAGACCTTCTTCGATTTCTCATCAATATCCTCTCCAGGACGTATTCTAGGCCGTTTCCTTGGTGGTTGGGGTTCATCTGCAGCCAAATAATGTAAAAGCCTAAGCCACACATGCACACATAGAAATGCAATTTGGAAATATTTAAAGATCAATCACAAAGTTAACAATTTTGTAACCCTTAAGTGCAATATTTATCTGTAATAGATTATTTTGAATTTCAATCACTCCAATCAGTTAATGGATGTTAATGTCAAAAATAAAAATCAGTCTTGCTGCAACTGGGACAGGCTGCCACATCATGGAAGATGTGGCATTGAATTCAGCCTTATAGGTTTGTGTTTAGTTACTCAAACCAAAAATTGTCACAATCAGTAAATCAATTTTTCACTAGTTTACTCAACTTCAATGGTTTTCTGTAAAAATGTGCCAGTATGACCCTGAATTTCTTCATACTTCATAATTACATGGTCCATGTGATAACCTGGACCAGTAATTTTGGTTCAGTTGGCCAACTATGTAAGATCAATGCACCATAAGTCATGGCAGAGGCTCCAAGCATGCTGCTCTGTGGCTAGTGACTAACGCACAATGACTGACAAATTTTCAGTGGTTAAAGACCTAACAAATGGATTATTGCAATGCAGCATCACACAGCATTATATCACAAAGCAGTAACTCTAATCTTCTGAAGTCTCTGATGTCAACAAAAGATTGCAGAGTGGAAAAAGAGATGCATGGCATGCTGATCTGGGCTCCACTTTCTTAACAACTGGCGCTGGGTGCGTGTGCACTATTCTGAAAAAGTAGTACTTTTTGCTAACACCAGGCTACCAGCACCAGAAACTGCTTTTATCCAATGCAGCTTTTTTCATGTTTCAGAGAAGTTCTCAATTTTTCATATGCAAGTCAAGAACAATGGTGACTAGTGACCTACTGCCACCAACACTAACTCGTAAAGCCAGCTTACCATAGCATAGTAAAAGCCAACAAAACTACCCAAAATCTAAAATCGACCCTTTATAGACATAACAATCAATTGCAACAGATATCTTAACCTAAGCCAAGGTGGTACCACATACTTACCTACGTGATCAAACCCTATTCCTGGCTGAGCATGTTTAAACAATCGAATGCCGCACTCATTGATCTTGGGATCCTCATCCACAACAGGGATAGGTTTTCTAACTATCTCTATTGTATTTTCCAATATTTCATTCAGAAGCTTTTGTGCCTGCCAATATACACACACATAGATATCATAAAAACGAAAGACCAAAAAATGAAATGGGCACATTGGTACACCATGTAATCAGAGTTATATAAAAAATGTCCAAGAGAGAGTTGTAAATTTATAACGCTAACTTGGTAAACAAATCTACATTTCCTGTTTGTGGGTATGGTTAATAAGAGTAAAGGGCGAATTTCAAATTTTTAAAATTATTAAAATATTAATTGGCAACTTCAATATATACTCATACCAAACTAACCTATAGACAGAAAAAAAAAAGAAATTGAGACGGAAACCTTGAGTTGAGAGTGCTTAAGCTGTTGTGTTTTGGGTTTGCTGTAAGCATCGTCGTCGTCATTTGGGTGACCGCGCTTGGTGGTGGAAGAGACGTAGGTAGTGGTTTGGACAATGGAACGGATGGCTGCTCTCCAAGCGGCGTCACCATCTTCTTCGCCACTGCTGCTGCAGTAACCGTCGGTGGGTTCTCCTTCTGCCATGGTTCGCTTTCAGGTTTCGACGTTTCGCAGGTCAGGGCAGAACACCATCATCGTCTCGGTAAGCAGGGTCTGTACAACATAATTGGGCTTTCACGTGGCTATGGATTGTTAGGCCCAGTTTGGAATCAACAACTCAAACTTCCTTTTACGAAATTAGGCTTTTGAAAACTACTTTTCTTTCCCAATTAAAAGCCTAGTAGAATTAAAAATGTATTAAAATCCTTAAATTTTAATGTTTTTTTATACATATATATAAAAAAATATGTACCCATTTTCGTCTAACTCGTGCTATTAAGGCAACCTCCACCTTTTAAATTAATTTTAGGTAAAATTATGAATTTTGCCCATTATCTTTTAAATCGAATTGTTATTTTTAAGAAATTTAATTTATTTTTTTATATGTAAAAAAAAAAATATTTTTGTCTGACTAAAATCAATTCAATTATTAAAGGTTAAAAGGCATTGCAAAGTAATATTTTTCATCATCGTAACTTTGTGACCATGTTCGAATACGAAAGGTGGATATAATCTACATTTCTCAATGATTGAATTGCAAGACTTTTATACCTCAATAAAACTAAAGAAAATGCAACCATTTCCTCCAAAAGCAATCATTTATTCCTCATAAATACCAAACCAAATCATTATCTCCAAAATACAACCCAACCACCACTATTGTATTTAATTGTGTATTAAATATGGATTATGAAGCATAATCATTTGGATGAACAATAACAGTATTATTACCTCTACTTCTTATGGTTTTTAATATTTAATTGTATAAATTAATGAAAATATTAACTTTTATTATTTTCATTTTTTATAGTATCTTTACTTTTGCAACATTTTCGTTCCATTCAAAACCCTTGTAATAATATGTTATCTATTCTCTATAATTAACATATAATTAAAAAGATAAAGATCTAATTTAAAAAATATAATTAATGTCTTCTTTAAAATAAATAAGGTAGATTATAATACTTTGATAAAAATAATCAGAAAAAAAATTCAAGATAAAGAGGCAGATCTATAAAACTCTTCTCCTATATTGGTAGCATCTAGTTAATAATTATTTTCTCCATTTTATTCTGGTACATAGGTTTTGCTCTTTATGTTGCCTATTATTATTTAAACAATTGTAACATATTCAAGGATTTCTATTAACTTCATGATGATATACAATTATTGATAATCATAAGTCTTATTTTTTATTTTTTACCTAAGGATTTATAAATAAGATAAATTGTTTTGTTTTATACTTAAATATGTAAAAGTTAAATTTTAGTCCCTTTCAATATATGTTAAAATTTATTTTTATTGTGTTTAGGAAAAAAGTGTCTCTAATTTCCTCTTTTTTTCAAAAATAATGTAGCAAAGAGAGGAAAAAATAAACGTTAACAATAAGAGACATAAAAATTAAATGATGATTGAATAATTTTGTTTCTTAAACTTCAATTTTAATAAAAATAATCGCTCTTAAATTATTTTCTTTCAAAATATACAATAAGAAATTAGTCAATTTTTTATTAAAAATTTTCGAATGATGAAACAATATATGATTAGATTGTTTTCTTTCAAATTATGCAATAAAAAATAGTCAAATATTTATTAAGAAAATTTTGAATGATGAAACAATATACGAGTAAAAGAGATTTGTTCTTTAATAAGTTGTAAAACATGAATAAAAATAACCATTAGTATATAGTTAGTTTTTTATTTAAATGACTAGATAAACAAATTATTTAAGCTGTATAGTAAGAATTATTGTTGATTTTTTTATGTATTAATAGGAAATTAAAATTAACATTAATCTTCACTTATTTTTTGGGATATTGAGATATTCTTATATAACTGATTGAACAAAAATTTGGTCTAATAATTAATCAGATATGATGCTCATTGTTATAAATAGAAAATATGTTATAATTAATCTAATAATTACCACTTTCAATTTTAGTTGACTAAGTGTGTATTTTTAACTTTTTCTACTCAAAACTAAATTATACCGAGATCTAATATTTTTTCCAACAACATTTTTATAACTATAATTATATATTGTATGAATGTGTAAAGTAAAGAGAAGGATCCTGAAATGTTTTTCTAATAAAAGAGTGTGTTTTGTACACTCGCCAATCTATATTATTCAGGAGTTGAGAGACTCAAGGTTAATTATAATTTTTTTTTAATTCAATAAAATGTTTTTAAAAATAAAATTGTAATTAAAATTCTAAAATAATAATATCTTAAATATAAAAATAGATCATAATTATATTATTATAAGACCAAATATTGTTAAATTTAAGAAGATGTAAGATGATATATTAGTGTAATAAGATTAAATTTAAAAGAGTAAATAATTAAAGTAGTATAAAATTCCTTGTAGAGACCCTCTAATTGAGGAAAAATGCCATTTTGACACTGTACTATTGTGTTGCTTTTCAGTTTTAACTGAAACATTGGTTGATATTAAAAGTTGAATTGGAATATGTGAGTGTTGCAATTAATATATGGACACGGTGATGTGAACACTCATCTGCAGTGTGATGGGGCGGGATAGAACTTTATCACATTTTGTGACACAATAACAGAGTTACTTTTTGTGGAACATCAATATGATGGGAACCTTGGCTATAGGTGTGGATTACTTGCTTATTCTCCCTAGAATAATTGTAGACTCATCATCAATTTTATGCAGCAACTTTATAATACAAGGTGGTGATTCTGCTGTTGGTACAACCAAAGGAAATTATCAAATTGGGGAAAGCCTTTTGAAGACCAACTATAAAAATTAATTCACTTTGGAATGGTCTTGCTACCATGGGCCACACATTAATGGCTTCCAATTTTTCACTTTTAACTCCAAAGACGCATTATGCAGTTATTCAATAGTGGAAAGGATCCCAACTGCAATGGATGAGAATGATCAGCATATTCATTCTTAAACAACAAAACTTCATTTTACTTATTCATTAATCAAATTTGTGTAGTTTTCAACTTATATAACATAAATTAAAATGTTATCAGTAATTAATATAATAATATTCTACACTAACATTTAAATATTAACATTCTTTTTATTTAATATGATGTAGTATGCTAAGAATGTAGATCTCAAACATACATTATGTATGTGATATATGATTATTTTGTCAGAGAAAAATTGTAAATATTTTTATCAAATAAGAAATTGACCTTACAATAGGTTTATAATAATCACTCACCTTATCTGTAGTAGTTGTTCAGTATTTTTGTTCAAAGTATATATATACTATTAATATTTTTCTCAAAGTTATAACCCAATGAGAAGGAATTTTCTCAAAGTGAAATTTTTATGTGGAGTCTTTCCGTGAAATTTCTACCCTCAAAGTATTACATGAGATATTTCATAGACTAAAATTATTACATGATATTTCATAGACTAAAATTGTTACATGAGATACAATTTTATTATATACTATTCATATTCTTTTTTTATAATTAGTTTTTTAGTTGAAGATTGATATTTCATATATATACTAAAATTATTACATGAGATATGAAAACTTTAAACTGAATATTTTTACACTGACAACAAGGTGAGAGAAATATTCAATACTTTAATTTAATTTTATTTTATAAAATAATATTTTAATTTATTTTTATAAAATAATATTTTAATTAAGTTTTATAAAATCACCTTAAAACCGGTTACGATCACAGAGAAGAAAACAGTTATTGATTTAGTATATTAGTAATCATCTAATATATTTTTTAACTTATTAGAGTGCTCGCTATTCACCATAAATCAAAATAATATATATGTTTATTAAGTTTATATCAATTTTATGTTAGCATTAATATATTCATTAAATTAGATAATTTATATTCTGTTCATCTAAATATAAATAAATAATATAAATTTATAATAAAATATATATAAGTTGTATTAATTAATTGGCCATTACAAAATTCTTAACAATTTTTAACTTGGATCTCATGTGGACCTTCCTTAGGTATTTATATCATAAATGAAATTGGAAAAAAAATTCTTCCTAACTTAATCCTAACATTAATGCAACCTCGCTGGAACAATTAATGACTTTTGTGTTAGATAGTGTCATGCTCCCACTTCGTGTTCTCTACATATCCTTCTGTCTCACAGGAGGAGGAGGAGATATATAACTTATCATCTCATCTCATCTTTATTTTGCCAAACATATACAATGAGGATAGGGTTGGTTCACAGTATTGTAAACTGGTGTTGTTCTGAATCTGTGTGCATGGGGGTGATGGTGTGCTGGCAAGTACTTCAAAACTAGGAATACCCAAAGCGGAGTATGCTTATGTTGACCCTAGTACACTGCTGGTAGGGATCAAATTACAAGGGATAAACATCAATTTACAGACTATTTCCAGTGGTAGGAACCCAATATTCGTAAAGAAAAGCGTGTTTTTTTTTTTTTAAACCTTTTCTTAACATATTAAAGATATGCATTATTAGTATAAAAGTTTTTTAAATCATTAGACATAGTATAACCCAGAATGTACGAGTATATGTACGTAAAATAAATAAATAAATAAATAAAAGGAGAATGGAATGGTAATACGTGAATCATTTTGTCCAAAGTGTGTTCTCCATCCTCTGACCCTTCGCAGGTTGCAATCATGTTATGTTGCTGGGTTGTCAGAATTTCATAATTTGGTTCTGAATATAATTGATGGAGTGGCTTCGCAAATAGTATTGGAAAACTTTCAACTTTATTGTTTGAATAGCAGAGATTAAAGTTTACCAGTATGCAAATCTTTTAACCGCAGAAGTCTGCTCCTCGCTTTCTGGGGTGTTACCAATCCAATCGATTTATGCCTTCAGGGAATTTTTCCCTTCCATTCCTGCCACCTTGTCTGGCGTGAATACTAGATTCCGGCAACCTTGTCTTCCATTCAGCTACCCTAGTTACCTCTTTTTTAGTGTTATAATTACAACCCAAACACAATACAATTTTATTATATATATAATACATGCTTTTATACGTGACTGCTTTATCATGCCCATTTTTGGCATTGTTTTAGTTTCAGGGTTGGAGGAACTTCTATGGGGAATAAACCATACTAACAAAATCTCATGTGAATAAGTATTACACAATATTAGGTTCCATGTTAGTGTCATGAGGGTCTTTTTAAGACGACGCACCAACACATTGATGGGTTTTATTATTAGTGAAATAAATGTGGTCGTATATATATTGAGCTACTTGTTCATGTGAAAGTACCAAATAATATTATTTTAAGGATCTTAGGTATTGACACTTCAACTGTATACCCTTTCTTGTATGTTGAATAAAATAGGATGGGGCTCACGGCTCAGCTCAGCAGAGAAAAAAGAAAAGTAAAGTCACCAAAGCTTTGAACGTCACTGTCCTTTTTTTTAATGGTGTTATCAAATAGTTGAATAATTCATATCTGTGTATTGTTATTTAATCACAAATTAATATCTACAGTAAATTTGTTAACTTTATAATAATTATTGCGAACCAAAAAGAATATTAGTTAACAAATTACACAGACATGATAAACCGTGAGCCATGGTAGTAGTGGTTGAATCCATGAGGTAAATTAAAATAGTGCAGCTGAAGGGTGCTAATTGGGGAACTCTCTATTCACTACTTAGTTGAAACATGGAAGCGAAGTATGGAACCCTTTCAGTCTCACCACCATCCCCACAAAATAGGGGAAGTAAGAAATAGAAGAAGGAAAAAGCAGAATAGGAAAAGCACATGATGAAAGAAAGGCCATGAGTTTCAGTATGTCCGTAATAACCTGTCTCATCCTGTCTGGGATCAATGTGACTTGGATGTAAATTAAAAATATGGATTCAACTTCTAGGCCCACTTCAAGACATGGGGACAAAGAGTTCAAACATGGATTTTGCGCAATCATTGATGTAGGCAAACAAAGAAGGCCTTAACATTTCCAACCAACATCTTCTAATCTCAGTAATCTGCGTGACTTAAATGCGTCATTCAGAAAATCTTTCCGAACTTCGAAAGAATTGGGACGTCAATTTGTACTTGTGATGGGATTGGAATTTATTCTTATTTGGTAGTAGCTGTATATGACGATGAGAAATGTACAACACCTGGAGGTGAAGTAGGATACAAACATTTCGAGATTATGGCTTGGGTTGCTTTGGTATTCAAAATTGGAAGAAATCATAGTTTTGGTGTTCGCCGAGGATGAAGGAGGTAAACAATGCATACATACAAAACCATCGACGTGAAATAGGAGTGGAGAAGAAAAAGTAAGGCATGGCACCCTAGGATTTGGAGAAGAGAAACACTTTGAATTAGCATGAAACGACACTATCATTATCTATAGGTTTTTCCGAGAGAGTAAATCTTTTATTCATATCACGCTACCTTGGTGAAAGGAGGTTTATTCAATGAAATAGAAATAAAAAAGAAATATTAAATGATTGGTTAAAAGATTAATATTAATATAATGATGACATGATAGGTGAATATGAAATGCTTGACGTGGTTAATTTTGATAGAAGTGCAAGGGGTTGGGTACGTTGTGTTAGCAATAAAATGGAAAAGAGAAAAGTGGATTGGAAATTTGGCAGAGTTTGGAGAGTGATTAGGAGGCAGGGAACGTGAGTGGGTTGTGCTACTGGTAGGAGATGATAGTGGGTTTGATGATGATGACTCACGCCGGCAGCTTTTACAACCCCCCTCTCTCTCTACCTCTCAAATCCCAATTGGCAGTTGGGCACGCCTGCTCCCACTCATCCAATACTAGTTAATTCTCTTTCTCTCTCTGTTTTCATTTTTATGTGTTTTAGTTATTTTTCTCTCCAAAGAATGAAAAGCTAGCCCACTATCTTTTCCTTCTTTGCTTTTTCTCATACTTTCTTATTTTTCCATCTTTTGTCAGAGAGAATTCTATTCTAAGCATCACCTAGCTAGGCCACGACCCTACTAGATTTTTCAAGCTATTGACCAACAAACTCATCTTAGTCAATCCCCCATCTCCTCCCCACCCATTTTCAATAAAGATAACCCTCTCCAATAAAAAGGATAACCTATAACCCCACTTTCATTTCCCCACCTCAATTACACTATATCTAAACCAATCCAATTTTTCTCCTACTTCCTATATATTAAAGATGTTTTTTAAGTCAAATAAATATTTAAATTCAATAACTTTTCATATATATATAAATATATGGGTATCTTTAAAGAGGAAAAAGCGATGTAGTAAATAAACATGGTTAGTTTGGTTTTAATATGATTTGTTTCCATGTAAAGTTGGTGACACCTAAAGCCCTTGAGCTCCACTATGTATTTTTTTATATATATTTAGGAAAATTAACCTAGTTTGTAAGGTTAGTAGAATAGAATCTATTGAAATTTGACCAAGTTCTTCCCCCAATCATTCCCCAACAGTGCCCCAATTCCCACTGTTAAAAACACGTTTGGTCTGGTGGAGCTGAGAAGCAGCTAAGCTGAACTACCTAAGAGAGTCACATTGTTTATTGATGTGGGTTAAATGGATACCTTGTTTAGGCTAGTAAGTTTTCAACAGCAACACCATCAACCACAACCCGATCCATCCCTCAACTCCACCACCAGCAGAACTTCTAGCAGCTCCAGATCCTCCCGGCAAAACTACTACTACTCCCACCAAGAAGACGAAGAATGCTTCAACTTTTACATGGATGAAGAAGACCTATCCTCGTCTTCTTCCAAACACTACTACCCATACCACAACGTATCCACCACCACCACCACCACAACCAACACCTTCAGCACCACCACCAACACCGATTACTCTTACTCCTTCTCCCCCACCCCTCCCCTCCCCGACTTCAACTTCCAATTCTCCCCCAACTGGTCCCACAACCTCCTCCTCGAAACCGCACGCGCCTTCGCCGACAACAATAGCACGCGCCTCCATCAGCTCCTCTGGATGCTCAACGAACTAAGCTCCCCATACGGCGACACCGATCAAAAGCTCGCCGCGTATTTCCTCCAAGCCCTGTTCAGTCGCGTCACCGACGCAGGAGACCGAACCTTCCGAACCTTAGCCTCGGCGTCGGAGAAAACATGCTCCTTCGAGTCAACGAGGAAGACGGTGTTAAAATTCCAAGAAGTCAGCCCCTGGACAACGTTCGGACACGTGGCGTCCAACGGCGCCATCTTAGAAGCCTTAGAAGGAAACCCCAAATTGCACATACTTGACATCAGCAACACCTATTGCACCCAATGGCCAACCCTTCTAGAAGCATTGGCAACTCGAACCGACGAAACGCCGCACCTCAGGTTAACCACCGTCGTCACCGGGAGAACCGGTAACTCAGTGCAGCGCGTCATGAAGGAAATCGGAACAAGAATGGAGAAGTTCGCGCGACTCATGGGCGTTCCGTTCAAGTTCAAGGTCGTTCACCACGCTGGCGATCTCTCTGACCTCAATTTCTCCGAACTCAACATCAAAGACGACGAGGCCCTCGCCATCAACTGCGTAAACGCGCTGCATTCGGTTTCCGCGGCTGGGAACGGCCGGGACGCGTTGATATCGTCGCTGCAAGGGTTGCAGCCGAGGATCGTGACGGTGGTAGAGGAGGAGGCTGATTTGGACGTGGGAATCGAGGGCTACGAGTTCGTGAGAGGCTTCGAGGAGTGTTTGAGGTGGTTTAGGGTTTACTTCGAGGCGCTGGACGAGAGTTTCCTGAAGACGTGCAACGAGAGGCTGATGCTGGAGCGCGCGGCTGGGAGGGCAGTGGTGGACCTGGTGGCGTGCTCTCCGGCAGAGTCTGTGGAGCGGCGAGAGACGGCGGTGCGATGGGCGATGCGGCTGCATGGGGGAGGGCTAAGCGCTATGCCGTTCAGCGAAGAGGTATGCGACGACGTTAGAGCGCTGTTGAGAAGGTACAAGGAAGGTTGGTCTATGACACCGTGCCCTGACGCCGGAATATTCCTTTCGTGGAAGGAAACGCCGGTGGTGTGGGCCAGTGCATGGAGGCCGTAACGTAAACTCAGGACGAGATGATGATGATGGTATCGTGATCGTATCATGTGGATGGCTTTGACATGGGTGAATGTCTCGCACGTGTGCTCGGTTTTTTTGGCACGTGCGCAAGGACTGTGGAGTTTTCATTGAGTATTAGTTATTGGGCTTTATTTATTTACTCCTCTTTTGTTCTTTCGGTTAAATATATAAGTTTGGTAAGACACCGGGATTCATGGGCTTTTGCTTGTGTTTAAAAGGAACTAAGTAAATTATTTTTTTGTTAACATTTTATGATTGATTTTTTGTTTACCAAACAACAGCTTGTGGCTTTCCATCCATCCATATTTGTATGAACTATATATATATAATTTATAAAGTAATTGATCCACTTGGTTTTCGTCTCTTCTATCTATCATCCATCAAACTCTCATCAAAATATTGTTTGTTTTTGTTTAACGTAAATAGCTAATATTGTATGTGATATTGTGCATGGTTATCTTTCCTTTTATAAATTCATCCATCTATAGTTTCGTCTTCGTGGTTTACTCCAAAGGTTTTAAGATATCAGTAATCGTAAAGAAAAAAAACATTTTATCAAGTTTAGTTCAAGTAGAGCTTTCCTTACAGGTGGTTCTGGTCCCAAATTGAGCAGAGATAAGGTGCATAATTGTTCGTGTCCACAGCTAACTGCAAAACCTACTGAAGCTGGGGAATGCTCTAACTTGTTATTACTGGTAGAATCTTGTATTATGACAAGATTGAACATAATTTTTAAAGTAGTTTAACCCACCATAATCATCTGATATCCTTTTCTTAGATGCGTCCAAGATAAGAGTGATGTGGAAATAACGAAGCACGCATGCATGATATATGTATAATCTTTAGGAGTTTAATAAATAATGAAGGTTTGGGATTTGGGGGCCACAGAATCTTAGGAGTTAGCATGCTACCTTGAGTTGGGTTATAGAGTTTGGGGAATCCATTAAAAGGCGTACAGTAATTAGTGGCTTTAAGGGTTTGAGACGAGTGCTCTGCACGTTATGTCTCAGATGCATGCTCTTCTTTTTCTTTATTTTTTTCCATTCCTCTCCATTCTCTCTATCTCAAAGTCTAAAGTGTATCATCTTTACATTTGCCCTCTTATGCACCCCACATAAGCCTCACCTTTTTCATGAACCCAAGGGGTTCATATATTTTGCCCATCAAACCCCATCTCCATTCTAAGTATATATTAATATTGGGTTCATCTTTTTATGTTTGTGTATCTTAAACTTCTATTGATGGTACTTGCCACCTCCAACTTGTAACATACAACAAACACCCTCCCTTTTGCAACTTTTTTCCTGGTTGAGTTATAAAAAAATGTAGATCTACTTTTGTTCAGTGTTTATTTAAAGAGTGTTTGATGCTGGCCCATACTTTCCACATGTTTAAGCTTTAGTCTCCTTTTTCTATACAATTGACAACGACCAGTTTACTCCTTTTATGTTTTTATGGGACCAGGTTGAAGTAGAAAGCCAACTTAAGCTCAATTTTCCAACTCATAGTACTTCAGGATTTTGTCCCTCTGTCTGTGTTTTCCATTCTGAAACAAAACCACCACATCTTCCTTCCGACAATAATAGAACACTTTTATGTTGCTAATTTTTCAATAATACAACATCTCAAACATTAATGGACAACAAAGAAAATTGGGATTCGGGTCTTGCAATTGAAATAGTATTGATGTGACATATCCTACTTGTTTTTGGATCATATTTAGTTATGGCTTTATTCAGTTGAAGAGCCCACAACTGATCTAGGGCCAGTTTATTGGCTTCCCCATAACTAGGCCCACTACTACCAGGTCTGTCTAAAATAACCTCAACATAACATATCTTAGTTTGGCAAAACTAGGCCCAACTTTCTTTTGGCAAGAGAAATCAATCAATAATGTTTTCCCAACTCGTCACCAACAATAGAACATAATTGGCACCAAAATAAAAGCACAAAAAATATTTATATTTTTTTTTTCTAGAAAAATTTTAAGCAGATTGTTGATCTGTATTAAAATCGTTAATAAATAAATAAATTCTCGAGCTGAACCTTGAATTGCTGATGACACTCCTCTTTTTCCAATTTCTTTATGGGAAATTCTTACTTCATGATTGTCCAATTTGTGGAGCGAATCGATAAAAAAATTGTTAAAAATATTTTCTAAAATAAAAAAATATAAATATGGAAAAAACAATCATGAAAATCATAAATTTAGAATTTTATATATAATCTTACAATCGAGTTAAAATATCTAAAATATCTAATGTATTATTACACCTTAAAATTTAAAGTAATAACTAACTGAAATAAATTATGAAAGATAAAAATTTCATTAATAATAACTTTACAATCTAAAATTTATTTAAAACTCAAATTCATAATTTTAACACCTTTTCTTAAGATATCATGAAATTGTCAAGCTTTAATTTCAAACTTAATATAAAAAAGGCTTTAGTAATAAGTTATCCATCATCAATTTCTTTATCTTAAATCACTGTCATCATCATCATTTAATTTAACTCATCCTTTTTCTTTGTATAAAACATTGGTTCTTGGATAATTAGGAAAAAAAAAAACTTTCCATTTTTAGAAGAACATTCAACTTTTCCTTATTGTTTGAAGACTGTGGAAAACATCTTCCATGATGTCTGGCTCAAAAGACACCTTCAATTGTTTCAACAATTTTCATTAAAACTTTTTATCTTTGTGCATGAAGCTTCTGGTCAACTACGTAATTGTGAGAAATTTTAAATCACATGACTCTTTAGGCAAAATAAAAGATAGACACAACAAGGTTGATTGCAAATACTATATTGATTTATTTAATTTTTGAGCAATTATGGTGCAAATATGTCTTTGGGTAATTTTTCACTCATCATTCGAATGTTTAATGGTGAAAATTGTTATATTTGGACAATCAAAATGAATTAATATTAAGATCTCAGTTTATGTTGCCAACCAGATTTTGTCAAATGAAAACGTGATCTTATGAATTTCATTTGTAAACTACCATACATTGAACATCCCTAATGCAATTTAAGCAACTGCAGAAGGTATTGACGTAGAGATCAACAATGCTTAATAATAAAAAGTCAACATACTACACATTAACAGAATTACTTACGCAACTAAACCACACATAAGGTGATGATGTACCTGATCAACCGTGCTTGACTTTTACAGTTAAGAACTTCTTAGATATGTCCATATCAGTGGATAATGTTTCTCAGTAAACATATTCTCCCTCGAACTGAGGTGAAGTTCCCGTAATTCAAAGATGTCAAGTGCACTGCAACTGAACTTTATATGGCAAAGTCTCCAAGAGTGAGTGAATTTTCTTTCGAGTACACGTACGTAAATGGCAAATACTTATTTTCTTATAATATTTTGACTTAATGATTTTCTCAGCACTTAAAAGTTTATATCTTTTTCAAGTTAGTCAAATGTTAATAAATCATAAAATACAGGTTTAAGTTTAATTTAATTTCACAAAACTTGAAATGTGATTTTAATTTTACCCACTTATATATATTATAATTTAGTTATATATTTATTAGATATAAAATCATCAATAATAAATAAATAAATGTTAAAAATAACTTTTATTTTTCACCTTAACCCTTTATTTCAAACAGATCTAACAAATTTTAGTCAATAGAGCAAAGAACGAAGGTATGTTGGAGAGTGATTACTGTATTTCTCGTATATGTAGAGTCCGAAGAATCAGTACTTCTTTGATGACCACAAATGTACAACAAAGTTTTTTTTTAAAAAAAAAAAAAGGAAAAAGAAAACAAATGTACAACAAAAAAAATCAATTTACTTGAATGTGCTCCACCCTTGAGGCAGCCTCCATTTTCTATGCCAATAGATAGAAACTCTTGACGACAGTGGTAATCCAGAACTGTGCTTCAGTGCTTGATCGGCAGGTCCTTCCACTATCAAAGGCAACCAAACATACCTTGAGTCCCTTAAGTCCGCTGGATTCCATCTATCAGCCATGAAAATAAATGAACCTGGGAACCCAGGTAGGGGAAGCACAAAAGTGCTTTGAGCAAGAAAGGTAGCAATTCGAAACATTTTGTTCCCTCCAACACATGGATTTCCCATTGTTTCCCAAGGCCCCAGGATTGACTCGGCTGCATGAGCCAGTGCTTCATTTGGGGCCCATCCCGTGCAGCCTGATGTGATCATGTAATATGTACCCTGGTGTTTGAACACAGCTGGTGCTTCTCTGCGCTGTCCCACAAAAACTCTTCTCATGACAGGTATCAAGTTCAGATAATCCTCGGTCATGGGTCCAATGTGTAGTACGTTGTTTTCTTCAGAGGAGTAGATAAGGTATGCCACACCATCCTCATCTTTGAAAACTGTCATATCCCTGCTTTCATATCCGTGGGGCCTTTGGCTACCAAGATATTCAAATGGGCCATCAGGTGTATCACTAATTGCTATGCCAACAGCAGCTTTTGTATAATTGGCATCGTCAATGTGCATCCACATGACATACTTTCTGGTTTTCTCGTTGAAAATTACTTTTGGCCTCTCAAGCACATTAGACTTGTACAGGTCGTGGGTTCCATTCATTTCCTCTGCAGCCAATACAATACCTTCATTTTTCCAGGTCCACAAGTCCTTAGAAGAATAGCAACCAACTCCAATAATGTCCACCTGATGAGAGAAAGAGAGATAAAAGCTACAGTTATGTCACCAGGGTATTTGGTTGGGGAAAAAAGACTCCCTTGAGTAGGCTCATAGCATAGTAATAACATCATTATTCTCACAAAACTGCCTTGGAAACAGCTATCTATAAATCTTTCAGTAATCATGAATATGTTGATGTTGAAGAAACAAGGTTACTTCATATACGCGAAGTACAGGGATAGAAGGAAAAAATCACAGATTTAAAGATAAAAGTATGATTGCGGACATGGCATGGGACCAAAACACCCTGCAACAAACTCACTTGTGCTACCTTATAGAATAAAAAAAATTACCCAAGGTATTTTGATGCAGAAAGAAAAGTTTACCTTGGTCAATCCATATATGAACTTGCTATTGACACATAAAAGGTCCAAAGAGCCAAGATCTTTTCCCTTTTTATATTTTTTATAATGTAATGCCATGTAAAATCTTCTTAGACTTGTGTAAGAACCCAAAGAGATTTGAGCATTTAGGAAAACAAGTCTTTGATGATCATCAGAAAAGCTATGCATTAAGTCAAGCAAAAGGTCTCATATTGGGAAAGTACTAACCCAATCGTCATTCCTTAGCCCAACCTAGTGTCATTCCTTAGCCCAACCTAGTCAAAGTTGAAGTGTATCCTCTCTCAAAGAAGATATACCATTGATTTGATTGGCAAGACTGGTTTATTGGAAGTTAAGCCAGGTTAGATCCCAATAAATCCTACTGTCAAACTTGCAGAAAATTATGGTAATACTCTTGTGGATGCAGAACTGAGAAGAAAACTGGCTGGGACACCTAATTAACTTGCAGTCGCACAAGCCTTGACAGAGATTATGTCTCTTAATGTGTGACTGGTTGGTTGACTAACATGCTCCACAAATGTCAGTTGACATGTTTTGCACACTTTGAAATCCAAATGGGCTCCTAGGCAAGGCATACTACATAGTGACTGGTTTCACTGCGAGGTGGAGGATTGGTCTGACAATTTGGGCTGGTTCTATTGCCATGGAAGCGTAAGAAACAAACAGTGGAGCATCCAGTAGAGTATTTCTATGCCCAACTCTATCATCTGTGTTTGTTACAAGGACATAAAGGCCTAAATCTCTCAGTATGATTCTTTTTTTTTTTTTTTTGCTAAATTTTATGTTAGTATTTTCAATTGATCCAGACTCAAAAGATTATATTAGCTTATATATATATATATATCCTCTTTTCATGGAGTAACAAGATTACAAGAATGTGGAAATATTATTCCAACATTAGCATCTAAAGAAGTAAATTGCCATAAGAAACACAGAAATTCTCTGCTAAATACTAATAAGAATGTTAGAACTAAAGGTATAAATAAAAGGCCCCTTCTTAAGCAAAAATAACAACCACAATAAACAATTGAATACATGTCTAAACAGGTAGCTAGAGTCAAAGAAGGAACAATGCATCTACCAAAGTCAAACGTGAATCTTTAATTTTTCTCACTAGAAAATCATCTTCTAGCTTTATTTTATGTTTACTAAGAAAACGATGCAAATACAAATAATTCACACAAACATAATAGAAGTTAGCCACTGACAGCCATTAAATTTATTTAAATACTAAATAAACTACCGTAGTCATCAGGTTAATTATTGACAAATGGTTAAAACAATAACACTTTCAATTGAAATAACTTACCCGAGCAGCTCCTCTCTTGTGAGCATGGTATGTGAGCCCATCTTTGTATTCACCATACCAATAGTATGTGTTTGATCTTTCATCATATAGAATGCCCCCTCCATGAGCTTGAATAGGATTTCTATCAGTATCCAACCAAATTCTCCCAGGGTAGTAGTAATAGCTATCATTCCCTGTGACCTTTACTGGATCAATAGCACTCTTGTTACCAGGAAAGAAGACATGTCTCAGTCGTGAATCTTGATCCAAGAATTCATCAACCAGTGGGGTTACCCGCTTATGCCTGCGTTTTGCAGCCCGTGGGGACCTCTTCCCCTTTGGTGGAGGAAGTTGGATGACCTCCTCTTCCACTTGTTGGAGTTCACGGAATTGAGGATGATTAGTCACACGCAGTTGCACCTCTCTAGCTTCCCCATGTTTGTGGTGAATATTGGAATACAGATGAAACAGAAGTATGCATCCTAACAAGCTCCATATCACAGTTGATGTAGAATAGCATCTGCTCCCTGCATTGCAACGTAAAGTAGTTGTTTTCCTGTATATGTTTCTCATCCTCATTTTCTCTTCCTTTTTAGTATCTTCAAAATCATGCTGGAAATTGCAATTAACAAATGCAACTTATGAGACACGATAACCCAATTAAAGAAGTCACAAACATCTACTTTACATGCAATGAGTGATGAGAAAACCTGAAAATCTTAAAATAAAACATTGCATAATTGGGCTTTTGCCCTTGCTGTGTATTGAACACATCAAAATAAATGTCTGGTGTGAGATATATATATATATATATATATATATATATATATACATATATATATATATAGTAGTTTGATAATATAAGGACATGTTGGTCAATGTTTGAATGAAGAGGCAAGACACTTAGGAAAATTATGGTGTAAGGAGGTGTTGTTTGATGAAGAAATACGTTACTTTATGAAAACAATATACATGTGAGTGAAAGGAAATTGAAACAGTCTCTATCTCTGCCTATAAATGTATGACTATATTTCCTTTATGAAGAGAGCCGAAAGAAAGAAAGGAAATAGATACAAAAAAGTTTCCATTCTTAATAGCAAGTTCTTCAAGATTCAAAGCATCAATTTTAAGCTCGGATAAAAAGTTAGAACTTAGATTCATTGCATTTGTAAAACTTTGAATTATCGATATCCTTATTTGATGGTCCATTTATGAAAAGTTCGGAACCGGATTCCCTGCAGTTGAAAAGTAAGTGAGAATAACATGTATCTTCATCGCAATAATAGATAGCGCTAAAAGCTGATATTACACAAGCCAACCCTCTTTCGCTTGTTTCACCGTCTTGCTACTGAATCAAATTTTTCAAAATTCTGACCTACATGTGAATCACATTAAATTCATAATTTTAAACTTTACAAGGTGAAAAGGGTTTTACACGCAAGATCGTACGAGGATAATGCACGGTAGAATGCGTGACTCCTGTATGAATCAGAGCTCAATCCGCGTAACAAAACTAGAGCTGTTCTCCACAGACTCAATTTATAAAAAGAAAAAGAAAAAATTGAAGCTAGAAAGCAAATTTAAGTGTGGTTGAAGTAGAACACTCACTCACCTGGTGCAAGCCGAACTATAAAATTAGCAAAACGACCCGACATGAAGTCCTCTTCTTCGTTACAGACACATTGGGTAATAAATAGGGTGAATCCAGTATTTGGCGGTCCAAAGAGGATGAAATTAAGAAGACGAAGTTGTCGTTGAGAAGTTAACTTTGGGCCTTTGGATCTGAGTTTATGACGTTGACTATACAACCAACGAAACTAAAGATGCCCTTGTGTTGTGCTAGTGCCTTTTGTCTTTTAGTTATAACAGCTATGTATGAATGTGTTTTACGGTTCTTCAACTTCTATGCTTAACCACAGGACTATGACTAGGTCCATCATCACACACACACACACACACTTTGCCACATTTCACCATTTAATTTAGATTCGGTACCATCATCTCTGGTTTAAATTAACACGCAGGATTGTGTACTTTCACCATTTTTTAATAAAGTCTTCGTAATTACAAGGATTTGTCCGAACTCGTTAGATTATGTTAAAAAAGAAAGATGAGATAATAAATTAAAATTTTTTTAGGCATTTATTATAAATTGAAAATGAACATTTTTATATTTCTACATTTTTTAATTAATAAAAGACTTTCTTTTTTCCGTAATTTTCTGGTTAATAAGTTCGATTGTTGTGTTGCTACACTACACCGAAAAAAATCTATACTTTATATATTTTAGTTAAGAATCAATTGATAGTTAGTAATATAGTGTATAGATTAGTTAAGTAACTTTTTTATAGTTGGCTTATTATTACTCAATTAGATCATGATTTGAACTTAAGTAACTTTATTATTAATGGTAACATAGTTATTATAGGATGGAATTAGATAATTCGTCATTGATTAGATTATGTGGATAATTGCTATGCTACATAGGTTGTTGTTATGTTAATGTGTTTGGTAAGATGAGAAAAATTATGCAAGATGAAAATAATAGAATGAAAATTGATGAAAAATAAACTGAAAATAAAATTTTATTTTTTTTAGAGATTAATAAGAATGGAAAAGAAATATATAAATGAGTAAAAATAATATCAATAATTAAATTTTCAAATTATTTATATAATTTCCTTCTTCTAATAAATATTAATATGAATTATTTTTTCATTATTTTCGTTTTCTTAGTTAAATTGATACTTAATTTTTGTTATAATTTTGTTATATCAATTTTTTTTTAATATAACAATTGATGGATTCGATAAGAACTATTAATCATTTTGAACCGGTCGCAGATCCAGTTTAGACTATTGTGGCTTTAAATTTTATTAGACTGAACTTAATCGAATATTAAAATAAACTACAAAGACATTCAGAAATTTTAACTAGTATAAGAAAAGTAAAATAAAAAAAAATAAAAATAAAAATAAAATGATTTGTAAAAAAGTGTAGTCTTTCTATCTATATATTTTTTACTAAGATATTTTAGATATGTCTTTTGAATATAATATTATGTATAATTGAATAATAATCTATATTGATTATATATTATTATCATAATATGTATTTACATAAAATTAATTAGAATAATTTTTTTAAAGATAATAAATGTGATGTTGACAAAATTTAATAAAGTTTAATACGGATGAAATAAAATTTTATCTATTTGATGAGATTGGTAATATATATATATATATATATATATATATATATATATATATATGAATACAAAATAAATGGAAAATAATATTATACTTTTTTTTAATTTTAAAAATTTGATTATCTCATCTTTCCCTTGTACTAAACTTCAATGTAAAACAATGTTTTTTTATCCATTGTGGTTAACCTAACGACCAAGAGTTTGAATAAATACATATAAGGTTTTGGGTTTGATTATCATTGTTCACATTGTATAAAAAAACTGTGTTTAGTTAATATTGTGTAACAAGTCCCACATTGGGGAGGTCTTCTTACCAGGGAGACCTTATAAGGTAGGAGGTTCTCCAACCTCTTGAGCTAGCTTTTGAGGGATGGTTCCCCTCTTAGTCTTATGATTGTTACAATGGTGCTTTCATTGAGAGCCAGCCTAACTCGAGAAGGGCTACCCACGGAGGGTTCCGACCACTCGGAAGGTTCTGACCGGTAAGAAGGCCGAGTGAAGTGCCGGTGAGTGAAGTGTCGTGGAGTGCAGCCATCGAGGACGCTGGCTTTCGAACGGGTGGTATTGTAACAAGTCTCATATTGGGAGGTCTCCTTACCTCTTGAGCTAGCTTTTGAGGGATGGTTCCCTCTTAGCCTTATGATTGTTACATATTGTTGAACCTCTCACTTTATTATCATTCACGTTAAGAATTGGGGATGTAAAAGTTTAGTATTTTTACAAATCAAGAAGCTTGAGTTATCATATTTATTTTGCACTACAAATTTAGTTATTTTTAAATAAATTCTCGTATGTTTTATATTTTTAAACTTGTGCTTGGACCTGTATATAAAAAGAGGAGAAAGAATGAAAATTCGATGAAAGTTTTAAATTTGATACAAACATTTTGATTTTTCTAAAACAAATTTCAACATCTATTTTTTTTCTAAGAAAAACTCAAAAATATAAAATATATTTCATAATCCACTGTGAGATAATCGATTCTATGATAATTTTTTAAATTATAGCCATAATAAATAATTACAAAATAATATTGAATTATTTTGTTATTCTCTGATCTAAATCATCTTATTTTGTATTATTTTTCTCTTGATTTATATTTTTTTTTATCTCAAATCTATTATTCTTCCGTTCAAACAAAGATTAAAATAATATCAATGTTGCGTTGACATTTGATTTGGGTGTGCTGCGTATAAAGAGGTAGAGTTTCTTACTTATTATTTGTAAATAACTTAAAACTTACTATTATAATTATATTTTTGTAAAATAGTAAATAACAACATATATATTATATTATATTATTATAATTATAATATAGATTGAAATTCTGTTCATTGGTGGAACCTCAAAACATAGTAACATAATTTATTTATATATTATACATACAAAAGTAACTCCCACAAAACTACCCCACTAAACTATCCCTATTGTCCAGTAGTCGCATCTCCACCTCTCAACTCCTGATCTGCTCTCACATAAAAGTGATCATCGCATTTCCATCTACATGAAAAAATAGGGGTAAGTATTAAATCATTCGATATAATAAAACAAATATAGAAGTAATAATTATATATTATGATCAATTACAAAATCATCAACACACTAATACACCTTCTAGAAGTATACCCTAACTATGTCCGAACTCAGAGGCTATCATCTGTGGGTACATTGTGATAAACACCTGCAATATCATTCTGACCACCCTCCACACAGAGTAGGATTACTGGCACCCTTCATCACTCATACTGGAGTACTCCTTCGAGCGCGCCACCAATCATCCCTCATCGACTTCTCACCACCTGGTCTCGTAGTCTACCTAACCCGACCAATCAGTGAAGTCTGAGACCTCATTTAGAATCCTTCGACATAGTTATTACACTAATGTATTTTGTACCACCCCGGGTACCATTCAAATACAACAAAAATCATTCACATTTGCCGGATTCTAGACCACCCGTCATCACGGCTCATTCAAGTCAATAAATAATAGTACTTGACTGATTCTGGGCACCAACCCTCCGACTCAGTCTAACCAATATATAACATCTCATGACTGATTATAGGCATCAGCTCTTAGACTCGAGCTCGACCCACACATGTCACAACACACTACTCGAATTTTTAAAACTACTACATTCATTCTATATTTTAAATATATATATATATATATATATATATATATATATATATATATATCTTTTTTTTTCGAAATCATTTCCAAAATATTTTCCGAAATCTTTTTCAAAATTATTAAATTACTATTTTGCCCTTAATCTTTTTTGAAAATTTCATGTATGTCCCTAAATGACTATTTTACCCTTTGACATTTTTGAAAATTTCTTCCATGTCCCGAAAATAACTATTTTACCCTTGAACATTTTCCAAAATTCCTTCCATGTCCCTTTCTTCTTCATCGCGCCAAGTAACAATTTCAAAATTTGTAGATTTCAGAAGATTTCAAATTACTCAGTTTTAGACAACCAAATTAGTCACAAATTTAAATAAACATGAATTATATATAATTTAAGTTGAAAACAACAATTTTACCATATAATTCATCCTTAATTTTAAGAATTTCAAAAATTTTCAAACGGTGAAGAGTTAATCAGAATCGAAATTCTTCAAAATCGGACATTCAAATAATTCATATCTCTACTCCTATTCCTTATTCACAAGGTATTCACAGAGTACCCAACAATTCAATTTCATATATTGAATGAATTAAACTTCCCCTTATCTTGTATTATATTTCTACTGAAGTTTTCTTACTTAATTCAAACTCTCTCCCGTTTCACCAGATCCTGCACAAGTAGAGTCTCGTTGCTTAAAATTTAGACAAAAGAAGAAGAAGGATGAGAGAGAAAACTACTTGCTGATGCCTCCTCCCCCTTTCGTGCGCACATATATAAAAGAAAAATTTTACCGTGCATGAGAAAAATTTCATTACGAAGTTTTCTTACACAATAATATTATTATAATATTAAAAAAATATACATCACATTCTTTATCACTTTAATTTTCGTTTTTATAAGAGGGAAAGAGAAATGTCCACCTAAAACTCTACATAAATGATAATTTCCTCACTTTGATATTTTTCCTTCAAATCTATAAAAACTATTGTCTCTTCTGTTGAATGAACATTTAATTACTGTTGATATAAGTGTTTTTGTTTGTTGGTTGATATTTGATTTATTAGTTGTTATTATGCTAATCCAATATTTTTTATTTTTTATTTAATTAAAATCTTACTTGAGTTTATTATTAAGTAAAGAGAAATTCAAAAACTTATTTATTTTGGCTCTCGGCCAGTTTTTAAAAATAGTAGTAATTTTGTTTAAGAAATATTAAATATAAACGAAACTTATGATCAGTTTAAAACATAGATAAAAAAATGATTACTAGTAGTTACAATAGAAAAAATATATAAAAATAATTATAAAAATAAAA